CTGATTTATTCCTACACCTATGCCTTGGGTTCAAGGGCACAGACCCTGCAGTGTGTTTGAACTTCTGGCTGTGTCATGAACCCTAAAAGCAGGGTAAGAGCTCCCTTGATGCTCCTGCCTTAGGATATATCTATTTAAAGTAAATTTGACTTGCTCTTCCCACCTTTCTTTAAAAAAAGTTGAGAATTACTGACACTTTTATACTAAATTGTGCTATCGAAATTATGGTATGTGGTGCAGCAGCTTAAGCCATGCTCAGGATGTCTACAACCTGTATCAGAATGCCAGCTCTGAGCTTGTTGCTCTGCTTCCAATCCAGCTCCTTGCCAATGCACCTGGGAATGCAGTGGATGACAACCCAATTATCTGGGCCCTTACCATCCATGTGGAAGACACAGGTTGGAGTTTGTGCCTCCTGATTTCTGGATGGCAAGACCCTAGCCATTGCAGCCATCTGAGGAGTGATCCAGCAGATATTTCTGCCATCCAAACAATCCTTTTTTTTTTTTTTTAAGATTTATTTATTTTTTATTGGAAAGGCAGATATATAGAGAGGAAAGACAGAGAGGAAGACCTTCCATCCGATGGTTCACTCCCCAAGCGGCCAGAATGGCTGGAGTTGTGCTGATCTGAAGCCAGGAGACTCCTCTGGGTCTCCCATATGGGTACAGGGTCCCAAAGTCTTGGGCCGTCCTCGACTGCATTCCCAGGCCACAGGCAGGTAGCTCGACGGGCAGTGGAGCTGCTGGGATTAGAACTGGCGTCCATATGGGATCCCAGACACGTTCAAGGCGAGGACCTTAACAATTACGCTATCATGCTGGGCCCCAAATAATCTTCTTTTTTTTTTTTTTAATATGGAAGGTGTATCTATTTGTTCAACTGTTGCTTTCTTCAGTGTTTTAATTTGCTCCTCATGTATACTTTCAGTATTTTTGCTATTTCTAGACCTTAACATGGTTAATTATAAATTTAATTTTCAAACTGCTCTGAATTTTGTTTTAAAGATACACCTATTGATATATATAATAATATCCAGACATCTTTTTGGTAATTTCCTTCGGTTTCCAGAGACTGTATCTTCTATAAACTGAAACAACTTACCTCTTCCATTTCTATTCATATGCCTCTAATCACATCAAATGGTATTGGCTAAAGTTGTAATACAAGGCTAAACAGATGTTTATCTGCATCGGTTTGTACAAAGCACATGAGACTAGGGGTTTCACCCAAAACATAAACATGTTCTTATACTCTGCAGGTGCCCGCAGGCTCAGAGCCTGGCCTCCTGCTTGCAAGATTGCCTGGCTACTGAATCCTCTTAGGGCATTTGTGTGTGTGTGTGTGTGTGTGAAGCAGTTTTTTTTTTTTTTGTGGGTGTTTTTGTTTATTTTGTTTCTATTTGTAAGGCAGAGTTTAGGAGAGGAGAAACACAAAGAGTGAGCTTTCACCTGCAGGTTCACTCCCCAAATGCTTGCAATGGCCAGAACTGAGATGACCAAAAGCCAGGAGCCCAAAGCTTCTTCCAGGTCTCCCTCATGGGTGCAGGGGCCCAAGGACTTGGATCATCTTTTGCTGCTTTCCCAGGCACATGAACAGGCTAGCTTTTTCACTCAGTCTACCGCTTCAAATGCTAATCTCCTCCAGAAACACCCTCATGGAAACACCCAAAAGTAAAGGTCTACTAAGCCTCCAGGTACACCTTATCTCAGTCACAAAAGGTGGCCAGCCTTCATGTAATGTCCTTAATCCACCCTTTTCTGTGCCTGTTATCATTTAGCACCAGCAGGTGTTAAGTTCTGCCTCTGACTGTGGCACCAATGAGCAAGCCTATGCTTCTTTTCTCTCATTTCTCTTCCATCTCAAACATTTTGTCTAAATGTCTATTTTATCAATTATCCCATCTTTTATCACTTGTGTTTCAGAACAAGTTCCGCCAATACATATATGCATCACTCACCTTTACTTCTCTTGCCAATGTAGCTCCAAAAATCCCTTGGGTGGTTTGTCCTCTCCTTTAATTCCCTAGAAAATATTCTAAAGATGATAGCCACCATAGTCTCGCAGGGTCAAGAGCAGCAAGGAGCTACTTTCCTATAAAACTGATACTGAAAGATAGCTTGACTGGATATAAAACCCTTGGTTCATGTTCACGGCTTTGAGATATTGTTCTATTTACATCTTGACTTACGTTAAAAATCTGATAATATGATTGCCTTTGCAAGAGTCTTGCTTTTCCTGCCTGGAAGTCTAGTATGTTTTTTCCTTATCATCAAACTCCAGGAACTTTACATGTACATACTTCTTGATGTCAATAATCTTAGGTTAGTTCTTTTCCCCAAGAACATAGTGTAAACTTTCAGGGCTTGGGTTGTTGTCTTTTTATAGAATTGCTTTATGTCTTTGTTCTGTTTTTGCTTTTCTCCTCGATGGACTCCATTTACATGCATAGACGCTGTTCTTTTTTACATCTACTACATCTATGTTTTCTCTGCTCCAGAATTTTCACTTTCTTGGATCCATCATTTCCTTTACACATAGTTTGTTTCCTTCATTTCAGTTCAACTCTCCTGTGGTTGCCTGAGGACACTGTGCCTCATTCTTCTATCTCTGGTTTGATGAGCTCCTGTGGTACATCTTATTTATCCTTGTTTATTCTGAGCTTCTGAATTTATGTGTCCTATTATTGCTTGCTTAATTAGTTGATGGAGGGCTGTTAAAATTCCTCTCTGCTTTCTAACCTGTTTGCATTTTTACCAAAACTTCCCTCATTTTTAAAAGCATCTTTGAACACACCTGCATATTCCTTGGATTTCTGTAGGCCAACAACCCTGTGTGGGAAAGGCACACCTCATCTTGGATCCTGTGAATACTTCTGGTGCTGCTGCAGTGACTGCAGTTCCTTAATCAAAGACTTCAGGTCTGTATGCTGATTCTTCCACAGTGGGACCTCAGGTGAATTGCTTCCTTTCTTTCCTCACCAGGCCTCCAAGGTAGAGAATCCCCCATTCTAAGTGCTATCCTCTTCCCAGAGCCACTGCCTTCTGCCTCATGGCCTCATCCTGCAGGCTGTAAGGCAGCCCTCACACACACACACCTCACACCCTTGCTCAGTGTTTCTCTCCGGCTCACCCTTCCCTGGACATGAACACTAGCTGTTGTCATCCGTGTTGCACCACAAGGACCACACCATGATCTCTCCTGGATCTATACTCTAGCAGAGGGTTCAACACCAACTCTGCAGGTCTCAGATGTTTATTTTCCCCTCACTTTTAACAGAAATTTGTAGCTTTTACTGGTTCCTGAATGTGGAGGAGACTGCCATGGAGGCCAGGAGCTTAGTTAGGGAGTTCTAAACCAGGTGAAAGGCAGATGGTAACCTCAAGTGGATGAGAAATCAAGTCTAAATGAATGGGTTTCAGAATACATAGGAGGCAGAAATCCAGGGGCAGGTACCAGAATAGGAATGATTAGCCAAAGAGAAGAGTCAAGAATACTACCAACTTTGGGGTTAAACAGTTCAGTGAGGAAGTCGTTTTTCAACATTCAGAATATAGGATGGGATCCAGTTTTTCTTGTGTATGATTATGAATTTGGTCAAGCCAGAGATAAAATGTGGAAGACAGAGCTATACAGAAGGGAGACTGAAACCAGAGGCTCCTTAGAGCCTGGCCCCCTAAGGAGCATGTACTAGATCTGTGGTGCAGGGTTATCCTGCAAAGGAGCCTGTAGGAAGGAAGCAATCCAAGAAGCTAAGGAAATTTCCAGAAGGAATGCACATTTTCAACAGCTGTTGAGATAAGGAAAACCAGGGCTCACCCAACCCTCTGAGGTGTGTAACACCAAACCACAATGGTTGGGGTGAGCATGACCCACTGTCTCATAGGGGGCCCTGGGTCAAGTGTTTCCCTATCTCAATGCCAAGCATAGCCAGGGGCTGAGCAAATAGGTTTCCATTGTTTTTGATGAGCATGACAATGACTTTCATACTCCAAAAATCAAACATTGGTTTTCATTGTGACCTGACCTCTCTACCTTCCATTCGTTAGTTAATTTGTGAATGCATTTTTAACAAACCTGTCCCTGTGTGTTATTGGACACAAACAAGCTAAGCAAATACAACCTTTGCCCACAGGCGCTAACACACTGGGGGTGGTGGCCAGTGTACAGAGAACCATGCCAGTGATGCACTGATCTGGGAACTCTATCCCCTCTAATAACTCATGGATGACAGCTTCAGTGCTCAGAAAACCAAAGGGTGAGTGAAGTATTCGAGGGAATCTTAGAAACTTGCTTCACTCTCCAAAAGAGACCCAAAGTGGTCTGGAAAAGGAACTGTGCCAAGCATATGTTTCCTGAAAGGGCCCATACCCTGATTTCAGTCTAGACGAACCAGAAGTGGCTTTCAAAGAAACAGGAAGACCAATCTGACATCTCTGAATCAGAACTTACCTGAGTAGGTAAGGTGAACCACTGTCAGTCCACTTCACAAAAATCCACCTTTTCTATCTTCCACAAACTAGACCTACCAGTTTCAACTCATTTTAGGACAGGCACGGAGGTATTCAAATGGAATTTGATCAGGAAAGGAGGAAGCTTTTCATGTTTATCATGTTTCCACAGGCTTCTTCCTTCCAGTTGAACTGGAATTCATCTTCCTGGCTTTTGCACATTATGTTAGCTGGTGTGGAATAAACCGAGCAGCTCTGACCCCCATGTAAGAATCCCCCTTTAAATAGGGATGGGACCCGGGACTCCCATTGGTGTTCCTACCTCACAGCAGCCACACATTCCCTCAAAGTCAATGAAACTCCAGAATTCACTGAACTGTAGAAATGACAAACAAATACCTTTGAAATCTGTCTGTTCCCAAGATGTGGGATGTCTCAGCAGCGTTCCCAAGATACAGCTGGTCCAACGTCTTCAGTCATAAGAAGTGGAAGATAACCTGTGTCTGGTCAACAGGAAAAGTTGTGTACTTTTTCAAAAAAGTCAGAACCTGAGAGTTTCAAAGGGTTTATTTGATTGCTCCACATGATCACAGTCATGGTTTTACAACAGTAGAGTCTCATTACTCACAAACAGAACGCAGAGAAAAACAAAAGCCCTCCTTGCCTCCCCACACTTACACAGTGGCTGTGGGCTTCTGGTGAGTGAGGGCTCCGAGTCTTTGGACAATCATGTTCCATATCCGATTCTAATTGTCTAAAGCACCTGGGAGGTGATTGGCAGTTCCCAAAAGGAGACACACACTGGCACAAGGTCAGTGGGACAGCGGGTAGAAGTTACAGAACTGTGCTTGCTATGTCCAGGTAGAGAAAACCCACCTCCCCCCAACCCCATACACCTGCCCCAAGTCACCATCCCACCTCACTCAGATTAGTTTTGTCATGTTGCCTTGATTCTTGTTGCTGTTATTGATCATACTCACAGAATCGCTCATTTTCCAGGCAGGCAGGGCGATGACATTTCACTAGGAAATCATTAAGATGCATGCGTAGCTATGTGGACATAGCCCCCTGCGGAAGGCCGAGGTGACACTCAGGGGGCATCTTTTCAGCTTATTTTCAAGAAAAAGTAAGAGGCCTCTGCTGCATGCAATGTATGATGGAAACATCACTCCCCACTGGATGACTGAAGACATTTTCAAGCACGGTGTGCATATCATATTAGGATGAACTTTATTTGACATTAAAGTACAATTCATTCATACACTTAAAAAAATACAAATACATGATTTCCTTGTTGTCCTAGGAAGATTTGTGTGATATTACCAGCTGCCTCCCCAAAGGGCCTCCATTCCTGTCAGCAGCTCTCCAGGTAACTGGGGTAGCTTGTGTGACCTGAGGGAGATCCCCAGGTGTCCTGACAGTGAGGAAGGCTGACACAAGACACCTGGGATACCCCACCTCCTTCTGCCTCCCCTCCCGGGCCCTGAAGCTATGGCTCAGTGACAGGTGGGCATCTACAGACACAGCCCCATGAACACAGCATGGGGTCACGAGCCTGTTAGAAGCTTGTGCTTCCCAAGCAAGATCTGGGCAGTGTGATTCCTGACTCGTGCAATCGACAATGCTCCCCCACCCCGGGAAACACTTGCCCTGATTCAGTCTGTAAAGCAACCCCCAGGAACCAGGAAGTGTCAAGCACTGGACTCCAGCACATCAAGTTAGAAACCTGGCAAGAGCTCCATGTGTGGAGAGAGCCCTGTCACTCGGTGGACCCTGATGCCTCCAGCACAGGCTAACGACGCACGCAGGACAGGGTCAGGGCTGGGAGTCCTGAATGGCACCCTTGGAGAGTCCCTCCTGAGGACTTACAGGTTGTACTTGGTATTGTTTTGCTTTCCCTGGTGACGCCCTTATGGATGTTACCCAGCAGCCCGTCTTTTCTGGAACAACCGTGAGTTTGCAGTTAAACTTGACCCTTGTCACAGAAGAGGGCGAGGAAAAGCAGACATGTTCAAGTAGGGCATTGCTCTCCTTCAGCAGTCTGCCTGCAGTGATGCTGTTATCTTTTGTAAATCAACAATACGCAGAGGGCCACTTCATGTGACCAGTGCAGATGGCATGCAGCATGATTCAACTCTTGCTTGCCAGAACGCCCTTTACACCGCAAGACACACAGTGCCGGGGGAGTCTGACCTTTAAGAACTGAACCAGAGAATGGAGTCAATGAACCCAGCCCGCCTGGATCGACTCACACAGCAGTGCTTGTCCTTCCTGTTTCTGAACAGATGCCAAGAAAAGAAACATCACACAGACGGGAGGACAAAGAGGGCAAGTTTAAGTCACACTTGTTGTTGAAGAGGCAGAACTCCAAGTCGCCACACTCGCTTTCTGTAGAGATGGATGAAGTGCTCAGGTTGCAGATTTTGCTGGTCCAGTGATGGCAAGGATGTGATGGTGGGGGGTTGTTGGGATGCGATGAGGGGGCTCACTGAAGACCCCAGTGGGCCAGCCAAGGTGACACAACCAGGACAGGCTCTCCTTTCTCCCTTCTTGCTGTCCACTGAACTCGGAGCCCTGGGACCCCACGGGATCAGGCGGTAGCTTCACCCTTTCTGAAAGGGCTCTCTGCCCGTGCAGGGGCCGTGGGGCAGTCCTCAGGTCCCACGCTTAGGAGCACAGCACTGGTGGCTGCAGAGGCTCAAAAGGCTGAAACTATAAAGCACGGCCCATGGGTGACTCAGGCACAGACCCGGACATGTGCAGCATCTGGCCCCGGGGGAGCGCACGGTGTCACCACAACACAGAAGCGACAAGAGCACAGCTGAGAGTCATGTGATGCCCTGGCAGCTCACCGGACCATGAGCAGGCAGCGGGGGCTTCGCCTGGCAAGGGCCGGGCTCTTGGCGGCCGGGGTCACGTGGGTGGCCACGGTGATGACAACGAGGGTTCTGCTAGCACATGGCTACATGGAATTACAATGATCACGGCTACCACTCAGAAAACAACACGGGGAACACACACACCACCCTGGGCTGCTACACACTAGCATCAGCCTTCAGGTTCCAGAGTGGTTCCTGGTGGAAGCACTCTCCGGGGCTTGTGCCTGCTGTGCTTGGAGGTGGCATGAGTAAGTTATGGTGCTGGAGGGGACGAGGATGAGGGTTGGTCACTTTCATGTGGGAGATGAATCCTTCTGCTGTGTATGGGTGCCCCTCTCAGAGGACTCTGAATGAGTGTGCATTAAATCATATGTATATAAAGGAAATATGGATCATGGAAATTCACAGTTATTGCAGCCATTAAAGTGTCTAAGAGTCTGCGGAACCAATATCCTAAGACAACCGGCTCTTAACTAGTTGTCCTGAGTTGCTACTGTAGAGTTTACTGTATTTTATCTACTTGCTTACCTGAAATAACAGAGCAGTTATAATACTGACTACTTATGATAGTATTCTGTTAATAAAATAAGGATTTATACAAAGCAATATCAGACTTTTTAAACAGTTAGATGCTATGTTACTTGGCACAGTTAGTAATAATGATCGTGTAAAGATTTCAGCCAGTCCTAGAGGGACTTCTCTTCTCTGTATGAAAATATGGAAGTATCTGAATTTGTTCCTAGCATTTAAGTTTTTGGTCTACTCTCACACATTCACCTAAGGTACTGTCTTTCTATCAGGTAAGTGGAGTTCCTGGTGAGGTCTCTATTGCTAACTTTGTGGACTGAAACGCTTGCCTTTCACACACAAACACTACCTATACAGTGTGTATATATATATATATTTATATATTTATATATATTTATATGTATTTATATATTTATATTATATAAAGTTTACTTACGTAGTCTCATCAACCATATCAGGTCTACTTAATTTTTTGCCCATTGTCAATAAAAGAGCATCAATGCAGCAAGTTTTGGGGATTTTGTTTTTTGTCTCTTTTTTTTTTTCTCTCATTTCTTCTTTTCCTAGGTTGGGTTTTCATATATGTGTACAATTGGGGGGAGGGCAGGGCAGAGAGCTGAGCTGGGTGGGCTGGGAGCCAGGTCAACACCTATTTGGCTGGTGGCACTGTTTCAAGGCTGATGGCTGTGTCTGAGGTGTACCCTCACACTGAGGTGAACGGACCCCAGGGTGCCAATGCTAAATTAAGTCAGGACTTCTATTCCATGAAACAAGAGCCCCGGGGGACCCCAGGGTCCCATTCTAGCTGGCAGGGGCAGAGGGAAGAGATGGAAACAAAAGCGCCCTGTGTTTGAGGCTTGCAGCCTCCAGACATGCCCCTGTACAGTGTGCGGCTATTTGGGGGAGTCTGGGTCCCCTGCCCAGGCTATCTACACAATTGTGCTGATGCCGCTGGGTTTGGCCTTGCTGCTGGTGGGGGGTGGTGGGGCAGGGGGCTGCCCGTGGTGGTGGCCAGTGTGCCCCACATGGGCTGAGGGCAGCGGTGGGTGGCCATGAGCATGAGCCCCATAGGGTGGATATCCGCCATGGGGGCCATGATGGTACTGGTGGGTGTGTTGGATGTGCTGGGGAGGGTGGTAGTGGTGGTGGTGGTGGTAGGGAGGTGGATTCTGCTGCATGTGGCAGTATTGGGTATGATGCCCATGCACCTGGGCCTGAGGCGGGCCCTCTGTGGGCCCTGGGTGATGGCCAGCAGAGGAGTGCGGAGGGTGGGGCAGGATTGGCGGGTGGGGGGGTGGCGGGGGTGGGGCTGAAGGTGGGTGGGCCTGGGGAGGGGGCTTCCCTCTCTTACTCCCAAATAAGGAGCCCAGGAGGGAGGATGAATGAGGCATAGGCTGGTGTGGGCGAGATGGACACTCTCGTGTTGATGTAGCTCTCCGGCGCATGTGAGGACTGCTAATGATGGAGCCCTAAAAAGGAAATTCATAGAAACCATAATTAAAAGATCTTAAAGCATGCATGTCAGAATGATTTTTTCTCTAATGCAAAAATGCACCCGCTGACTGCTAAGCCTTCGTTCAGCTCTCTGACCACAGGAGGAGGGCGGGGTGAGGCAGAATGCAGGCCCCACCTCCTGGCACGATACTATGCAGGATGGTTGGGGTGGGTGACTGGACCCTGACAAAAGTAGGGGTAGGGGAAGGATCGAAGAGCCCTCTTCTCTGTGCAAGGGCCCAAGCATCATGTGACTTCTCCTCTCATTCTGACGAACACACTGGACCTGGGTACCTGCCTGAGGCCTCACAATGCAAAGACTGCATGGGGTGTCTGTGAGCCATGTGTGGTGGGTGGGTACTACAGCTGTGCCCTAACCTCTCCTGGTAGCTCTTGGCTGGGCGAGGCCATCTGCTCCACCCGGGGAAATCCTGAAGGGTCTTGGCAGGAGGTGACAGGGACAGATGAAGCTCCAAAACTGTCCTTAAGGGATGTGGGCTGCCTAGGCACTTCACTGCAGCTGCCTACTGCAAACCAAACAAGAAAAAGGCAGGAAACAGAAACAGATCTGCAAGCTGAAGTTAAGATGTGGACAGCAGTACAGAGATGGTTGGAGGATGAGTGAGATCTCATGAGATCCACGCTGACATTTTCTTTCTCTCCAGACACTCCTCCCATGAGCTTAGCAATTCCATGGGGTCCTGACCGCAGACACACAGCAATGGAAACTCCAGAAAGGAAGCGATGGGGATGGTGGAGCATGGAAGTGAAGAGCTGGGCAAAAACATCCAACAGCAAAAGCGGCAGGTGAGTAGGCGGCAGTGGCCGGCACCTGGCCACTGAGCAGTAGTAGCCATGGCAGAGCCCCCGGTGGCTGCGGATGGTTATCCATGCTTGGGAACAAGGGATGGGGAGTAAGCAGAAAACTAAAACACAAAATCCAGAACCACCCTCCCCCACACTGTTGGGTCTGAAATAAGCAGTGGGAGGCACGGATGCTTCTAGGCTCAAGGAGAAGCTGGCATGCACAGGATCGGAGGCAAGCAGGGACAGGGGAGAGGGTGTGTCTGCGTCTCTGTGCAGTAGGGGAAGAAGCCAAAAATAAATAAATAAATAAATAAACAAAAACCCAAACAAACAAACAAAAAAACCAGAAAACAAAACAAAACAAAAACAAAGACAACAGATATAAACCAAGGATTGGGGGAGGAGACACAGGACAGCCAGCTGGACGGAGGTGCTTCCTACTTACTTCCACATTGCTCTCTAGCGATCCCGCACTGCTGCGACGCCCTCGCTTCCCTGCCCAGAACATGCAATACCAGAGGTTAGACACGGGACGCCAGGCCTGGGGCACTGCCTGCCTGTCTGGTGCTGCCACCGCCTCGGAGCCTGCACAGCTGCCCAGAGCAAGCACAAGAACCAGGACCCACCTGCCCGTGGGCATCAGATATGGGGGCAGAGGAGGGGCTCAGTAGGGAAGCTGGCACAAGCATGCTAGCCAGGTTTCTTTTTCCAAATAGTTTTTTTAAAAAATGCAAAAGAAAAAAAAGGGAAAAAGAAAATTTTAAATTAGCCCAAATCTGACAACCTTCCTCTTGGATCAGCAGTCCATGGGGAGGGGCCTTGGGCTGTGGCTTGGGCACCCAATGCACCCAGTCTCTCCTCCCCCAACTCGGCCTGCAGGCTGAGCTCAGCTGTCTGCTGACAGGGGAGTGGGAGAGGGCAGCAGCAGCAGCAATAGCGACAGTGTGAGCCATCCTCTCCAGTCCGGACTGCCCGTGGAGTCCATATATATGTATATATAAACGCACACACACACATATACATATATTCCTCTCCCCTTCGATGCAGAGCAGGGATCAACAGTTAAGAGAAGTTAAGGAAGTATCCCTCGTCCTTTTGGGTGCTTCTGGGGGCGGAGTTTTGGTTTGTGCAGTGGCCTGTGGCCAGGGGCTGATGCAAGCCTTTACCCTCAGCCTTGGGGCCCAGAACCACAACTCCTCCTCTGCCGGCACTACTCCCTAAGATGCCACACAGCCCTCCCAAAGCATCAGGGCTCAACCATCGCCTTTACCATGTTCTGGTCTCTGGCACATAACAGGCATGCAGCGTGAGCTGGCAGAGTCAAAGGAAGGCTGAGTCCTTCTCTTGGCTTGGGGTACAAAGAACTCCCCCACCCCACCCCAGCCTCCCTTGGGAGACCTTCTCCATGGATTCTGCAGGACATCATGCCTAGTGCACAATGGGTGTCCAGCCTCAGCAGCAGCTCTGGGATAGCAATGGAAATGGGGCAGAGGGCCTCCCCACTATACTCTGTATGAACTTCCATTGCACAGCACCACCTGAGTCCAGCACCAGGCTAGGCTCATTGGTGGTGCTTTGTCACAAAAGACAGAAGCTGTAACTGGAAAATGAACCCCATTTTCAATAGGTAAGGTTCACACCCAAGCCTGCCTATTCACCTCTGAGGCTGGACAGCACGGCCACACTGCCGTCTGGGCTGAGCTGCAGCCAAGGTCAGGTTAGGTGGCACAGCCTGGAAGATGAATGCAGTCGCTCCGTCTGCTCAGCTGGCTCCCTTCAAAGCCACACCAAGGGGAGCTGCAAGTATTGAGAGAAGGACACGTCTTTGGGCCTCACCATGGTTATGCCAGTGTGCTGCCCATGCCCAGAATATGACTGAGTTCTGGGTATGGGCACACAGACTCAGGGGATGCCTGTTCCCTTTGTTTTGTCTGCTGACCCCCACTCTCTAGTTCCAGGTAGAAGCCGTACCAAGTCCTGCTGGAGCCTGGCCTATGTGAAGTGGCCCTCAGAACCTGCTCTTGGGATGGGGCTGCTCTGCAACTCAGGGGCAAGAGCACAAGGGAAACCTTGACTTTTGTCAGAAGAAACAGGTCACATTTCCTTACTTGTCTGTGGACACAAGCAGAGAGGCAGGTCTTCTCCCCAATGCAGGGGGCCAAGGACACACAGCAGAGAGTGTCCAGTCTCCCAAGAGGAGACTCCTGAGCACAGACATGCCCTTCTTCCACACGTCACTTCAGCTTCCCCATTTGTGAAATCCATGTCTCCTGCCCCAACCCCTTCGGGGGCTGTAAGCATCAAGCACTCGGATGTTGTGAAGTCACACGGGAATGCTGAGCACAGGGGTCTGCTGCCTCTGATTCTTCTCTACAGCCCCCTTGAGGCTGATGGACAAGGAACAGCAGGGCAGCAGCCACTCCGCTGGCATCCTGCAGCCCCTTCCAGCTGGCTTGCTTCTTGGATGGGATGGGAGCTGGGCTTGGAAAGCTGGGGGTGTCCTGAACTGAAGCTAAAGACAGACTCTCACTCTTCTTCCTGCCCAGGTGAGCTGACATAGACCTTGTATGGGGCTATCTTGAGTGACGTGCAGTGTCTCAGGACCCATCTCTTCAACTTCCCAGCTTAGCCAGGATGTGGGGGACCCTAGGGACACTCTCCACACTCAACTCCCAGTGTTCTGTTCTAAATGTACACCCACAGCACGGTCACCTGGGTGACCTGTCCACGGCAGACCTGTGCCAGATGTTCCCTACATCCTCGCAGATGGCCTCCAGTCCTTGCTCAAACATGTGTGCCAATGGGAGCAAGGCAGACTTGTGTACACATAGGCATACATAGCCTGTCCTATCCTACCCCACACTTGGTGCTATTTGCAGCCACCCTCCCATCTCAGCTTTGGTCCTGCAAGTGAGCCCACTACAGAACCATCCCTCGTGGAGTCAGATCCAGGCCCACAGGACTCCCCACATGGTTCTTAGCCTCAGCTGCTGCCTCTGTGGTAGGCTGGGATATGGATAGGGCCTTCTTCGCCACCCAGGGTCAAAGCTCTGGAGCCCTCAACAGTGCTGGGGGCCAGCCAGGTGACCTTGCTCCATGACAATGGCCATGATGGTATAGATGACAGTGCACACCTGCCCAGCACTAACTATGCCCAAAGTGGCTCTAAACATTGCACAGGCAGACAGACCAGACATTGACTGTGGCCCAGCACTGACAGAGTAGCAAGTGAGTAGATACATGAGCTCAGGCCATCTGACTCTAGAATGAGTGGGCTGTGTCAGAGCCCTGCTGGACTTGGTGTCAAGGGTTGGTGGGACCAGGTGATGGGAAGCACCACTCCCTAGGCTGCCTCTTTCACTACCAGGAGCACCTGTCATCTCCACCAATGCTCCTGGAAGGGGGTACTCTGGTAGTGCAGGTGACAGGCACCTCCTAGAACAGGTCTTAGGACCTGGGAGACATCCTCTCCTCAGGTACTCACTAGTAGGCAGTTTAGCTGCGGAGTCCTCAGGAGTATCCACCACAATGTGCCCTGTCCGGCAGGTACCAAGCCCTGTTGTCCCTATTTCCTTAGCCTTGATCTTGAGTATGCAGGGTCCTCATGCTGCTGGATAAGCACAGGTTGGGGAGTCGCAGCTGGGGCTGCAGCTCAGGCCATTCCTTCTGTCTCTTAGAACGTCAGCGGCTCCTGGGGCATTTGCAGATGGGCTATCAAACCATGGCCACATTTCACTTCCCAGGTTCATGTTGGGCAGAGGCCATGTCCAAGGCAGATCAGCTCCTGGATGGACTTGGAATTGCCAATCAGTGGCAGCTTTTTCCTGTTGTTAACTGCTCCAGAGGGCTTTGTTCTTCTCAGCGGGCTTACCCTGTCACCATCTCAGACACAATGCTGTGAGGGCCATAGTGAGTACAGCCAGCTCATGCTAGCTCTGGGAAGCTTGCAGCCATGGCCCAGTCCACAGCAGGTAGCCAGCCCTTGCCTGTCTTTGCCTGGAGGTGACAAGTAGCTCCTCACCTGAGCTGACATGACAATGGCAGCTGCCTGACTCAAACACCCACCTCACCTCATCCTCAACTTTCCTGGGTTCAGGGAGCATTGTAAGATCTGTTTGAGGGTTTCTTTCTTTATTGTAAGTGTAAAGAAAATCCAAATCCTGGAGTCCTCAACTGAGAATTCACAAATACAGTGCCAAGAGTGAACACAAATACTAATTGACATTCCTCACATGGATGCAGGCCTGGATAACTGGTTCTATTTGGTCCCCGGGCCTGGGACAATAGACAGGCACAGCCCTGACCAATGGACAATGGACCACATGAGTCTCCGCTGTGACAAAGTCACTGCCACCTAGGAAAGATGGGATGGGAAGGGCACACTGGACCCTTGGGGCCCCTAGAGGCTTAGGAAAGAAAGAGGACAGAGACTGCCACACTGCACAAATTCAAGAGTTTCTGGGCCCACAGCCTGCGGGGAGTCCAAAACTGAACTGATTAGGCCACCAGAACACCAGTACTTTCCAGCCAAAGATGATTTTGCGCCCCCCAAGGACCTGTGGTGATTTCTGGGGATATCCGTGATTGTCACAAGGTGTGACTGGCAACTGGTTGTCAGGGCCTGGGATGCTGCTCAACATCCTGCAGGGCCCAGCACAGTCCCGTGGCCAGGCGCGGCACAGCCCAAATGGTCAGCAGTGCTCAGCCCGAGAAGCCCCAGCTTCCACCCTCCGGCTGGCAATGATCTGATCGTCACAATGGAAAAAACCAAAATCATGACAAAACAAAAGGAAAAAAGAACTCCAACTGAAGGGGGGGGGAAGGATAAAACATTTCTGAGGAATGAATAAGCTGAAGTGAAGCAGTGTTGCTGGCAGAGCAGGAGTAGGGGTAAGGTCCTGGGTAGGCTTTCTTAGGAAACTCAGACCTGGCCCACAGACTGGTACCAGACATGGGTGAGCAATCCCCTAGGAAGAGAGGGTGCCGGTCTCAGCATCCAAGGGTCTCCTCAAAAAACAAGGGTTGCACAGGCTCCTGGCCTGCTCTGGTAGCACTTGGGAAGAAGATGACTGGCTACAGACTTGCAGCTTCTGGGCAGCTGCTGGGCACCCTCCCTCAACTCACAGCTCCTTCAGAGACTTGGGCAGGTGACCCACCAGGGGTGCTCCCTACTGCTCAAAGGCATCTCTCCCCCTCCAGAAATCTGTGCAGTTTGCAGGGTGCTCTTGCTTGGGGGATCAAGTGGCTGGCAGCAAATTAAACACACACAGAAACAAAACAACAACAACAATCACAATTTCTACCAGGCCTTTTCCCCTAGACACCCCAGAGCCAGCCAGGGCCACTGTGGCCACCTCCATGGGCTGCAGGGAGGCCCAGGACTCCCAGGGAAGGAGACCCTGCAGGAAAAGCAAGCCTAGGAGTGGCAGGAAATGGGGATCTGCAGGCACCTCAGAAGGCATCACTCACTCTCACTCAGCATAAAACACAGGAACGCGCAGCACAGAGAACACGGGACACACCGTCTGGCTTGCTCCGAGTCAGAGCCATTTTCAGAAAACAAACACATGAATAAACAAAACCCCTGGAAGAAGGGAAAAGTGGGGGAACTTCCCTAGCCGCTCCACACAGGCTGCCTCTCCTTTGGAAGACAACTGGTCCTGATTCCCTCTATCTTTTGGGGACACCCTTTCTGTGTAGCCAGACACTGCTCTGGCTTAGAAGGTCCCAGGAACCCCAACAGCGCTCTGTCCACACCCTGCCACCCATAGCCACTACTGCTGCAGGACCCTCGTGGCTGACGAAGCACGCCCTGTTTGCATAAGGCTGGGAAGGTCTCGGCTGAGCTCTTACCCGCTTCGGAGAGGTCCCTTAGAGAGCTGCTGAGAGCACTGCGTTTGAGGCCTTCCCCGCTTGCGTAGCTGTCGTCCAAGCAGGCCCGGCTCAGTGTCCCGTTGCCGGACTCCTTTTTGAGGCTGGAGCACTGGGACATGCTGGGCCGTACGACGCCCTTCTGCTTCTCAAGCTCCGCTGGAACAGAGAGGGCGAGCAGTCTGGTGAGAGAAGCACAGAGTATGGCAGGTGGCCTAGGGGCAGGGGCTGGTGGGGAGGCATGGATTGTAACGAGCCTTGGGCTGGAGTTGGTACTATCCTGGAGGACCAGCAGAGAAGAAGGGTGGTCTCTGGGAAAGACAGGATTGTGATGTCTATGCTGGAAGGAAGAGAAAAGCAAGGAGACTGTAGAGCAGGAGCTGCCTGTAATTTGCAGCAGAGAAAACTGCAGGCTCAGGAACTAACGAGGAAGTAAAGACTTGGGCTTGTCCATAGACAAGGCACAAGTGGGGACACCCATGTACCTCAGTGGGGTAAGACCTGGAGCTGGAGGATGGCCCTACTTGGGGCCAAATGCAAGGATGACTAAGCAACAACCATGCTGAAGTACACAGAACTCAGCTCCAGAACTTGCAGGTCCTGTCCACAAGGTGGCCGGCAAGGGAGGGGCCACTCCCAGGTCATTTAAACAGGGTCTGACCGGCAGGCCAGGGCCTTGGCTTGGGCATAGGGCATCTTGTCTCTGTGGGTCCAGCAGGGGTGTTGGCATCATCAGCCACGGCCCACTATTGCAGCCCTGAGCTATGATGGCAGGTGCTCAGTCTGGCAGCTGCTAAGTGATCCGGGACCAGCAGGCAGGGAACTTACACTCTATCCTGTGCTTCTCCATCTCCTGCACTTCTGCAATGGACTCCCGAAGGTCATCGGTGAATTTCTTCCTGTCTTGAGGATTGGGAGCGTTGAAGTTTATCAACACTTTGATGTCAGCTCCAGGGACAGCCGATGTGAGCCGGATGCCATTGGGGTAGTCTACAAAGGGGAAGGACAGGCAAAGAGCAAGCAGTGTAGGTAGACCTCGGCAATCCCCTCAGATCAAAGGAAATAAGCCAAAGGCCGTCTGGGTCAGCAGGCTCTCAGTAGCGACTGAGAACAACCACAAAATGCTCTACTTGTCCCAGAGGTCTGTGTTGTTGCTCAGCTCAGTTTGAAGATAATGGACGGCAGGTCCTTTCCTTCAAGGCTCTGGGTCACACTGCCAGGGGCTGAGTCTCATAGGGGGATGGACATGGCATCCTGAGCTTGTCAGGGGCCAGGGGCAGATCTCATGCAGTCACCTTGTACCTTTCTAGGCAACAGAATGAGTGTTGTTCTTTTCCAAATTGTCTCTATCTGTTCCCTTCCTTTGGGTACCCTTGGGCACCCCATATGGAAGCTCACCTCATGCCACCCCCAAGCCTGTGGGATCTTTGGGGCTTGACTTCCAGGCAGTGTGGCTCTTTGCAGTGGCAGTCACCTGGCTAAGTAACAGACACTGCAAGTAGGAAGGTTCTTGACCAAAACAACAACTTGAACTTTTCAGGGCCAGGAGGGCCAGCTGGGCTGAAATGTACACACCAATGTTGCCACATGGGACATCAAGGTGAGGCAGGACCCCAGCATGGGGTTTGCTGAAGGCATGTATCAGGGTTCCTCATAGCAGAGGGGGAGGAAGTGTGAGTGTTCCTGTCTGTTCCTGGGTCTCTCTGTAGACAGAGAAGTGGGAACTAACCCCAAATCTAGGCCTTCCAGCTCATGTGCTTGAATGGTTCAGCTGCAGGTTCCTGACACCTTCAACCTACAGGTCAAAGACAGATCAGACCCAGGGTGATGGCCTGTCCTGAAAGGATAAATGGATCTACTCTAGAACCTTCCCTGTCCCTATCCCAGGAGGGCTGGCTCTGTGTGTAGCTTTCGGGGCCTCCAACAGGAAAGGGAGAAAGGAGATAGGAAAAGAGAAGGAGCAAGGTCAAAAGAAGAGGCACGTGGGGTATCACAGCCAGCAGCCAGCACCCCCACAAAGCCCCAGGGCCCAGTCACAGCCAACAGGTCCTAGAACCCCGAGGAGGGCCCCAGGAACACTCATGGAGCAAACCTTACTAAGCACTCAAGGTGAGCCAGAAACATTTCTAGGGTTTTACGTGGGAAAACCTTTTTGTTTATTCTGTGAGGTAGGTGTTACTGTCACCCTCCCTGTAACACCCCCATCTCTCCTTTGCAGCCCAACAAGCAGAGGCCAGAGGGGCTGAGAAACCAAGCCACACGGCAGCAGCAAAGTGCTGGGGCCAGGACTGAGACCCAGTCTCAGCTCTGGCTGTCTTCTCCATCACCCACGGCGACTTTGACCTGGGTTTCCAGTCACCTACACTAAGTACTTAATGTTTTTCTACCAACCTTTAACTTCCATAATTCATTTGTTTTAAATGTACAAATCTGATCAGTTGCTGGAAGCAGCAGTGAAAGAAAATCCAATGTGCATGTAGATAATGGAGAAGTCACTGGGGGTTCTGTCCTGGGGCAATCAGGAGGCCATCGCACACTCACACTGGTTTTCGAAGAGCAGGACCTGCATGCCATACAGGGAGAAGGACTGCCGGAAGCTGTATGTCACCGAGTTCTTCTTCTTCTGGAAGATCTTGGTGACCTAGGGGTAGCCAGACGCAGCTGAGTAGAGAGGTCAGAGGCCCAGGACAGGAAGAATATGGGACCTTTCATGCCATGACCTGGACACTGGTTCCCGTCCCTATGAGTCCCCAAAGCCAGCTTGATTGGAGACAAAGCCCCCACAGCCCGGCAGACAGGTGGCAGGTGCCTTCCCACAGTTGGCTGAGATATTTACACCAGGGCTCAGCCCCTGGACGACACAAAGGGGAGACAGGGCTGGGCAATGCTGATCTCAGAAAGAGACCACAGCTCTATGCCTCAGCACCACCTGAGTGTGACACCATGTCTGGTCCATGTCCTCTGATGATCCCCACACTCCCAGCAGGCCCCATCTCAGCCCTCGGCTGCTGGTCTGGTCTGCAGCTAACAGGAACTTCCCAGCTTGGCAGCCAGAAAGGGGCTCCCCTCTTTCTTGTGTCTACTACATGTCAGACACCAGATGGAACCTATGTCCAAGATTCTTGGTGCCACTGTAATTCTCAGTCATCTTTCAGGGGAGCAAGCTGAGGCTCCAAGGCCTAAAGGGGCTGAGTCTAAAGTCCAGGGCTCTCAGTAAAGGATGGGAACCTCCACGTCTGAGTCAGCCTCCTTGGTCAGAGAGAAGCAGATGTTCCCACTTTGATCCAAACCCAATGGGAACAGGGACCTAAGTAAGAGCCTGTGGCATGTAGGAGGTCAGAGTGTCCAGGGTAAGTTTGCTGGCTCCTGGCAATGGCCACTTTCACCTTCACTCAGCATCCTTGGATAAGAGATGCTATCTTTGGATAAGAACTTGCCTGCCCTTGGGGTCCCCCTTCAGCCTATCTGTGTCCTGGAGGATGGGTTTAGCAGCAATGAGGAGGACAGCTGATGCTGCTGGAGCCTCCGGAAATGGCTGGAGCTGAAGCCCACAGCCCGCTCTGGACTCTCACCCATGCATGAGGGCATTCGTTTGAGTTCCCCTCCCCCAATCCCCACCAAGCATGTGCCCGTGTCCCCACATGCAGACATATGGCTAGACAGACACTGAGGTGATGAGTCACATACCACCAAGAGGTCATTAAACAGGAAGATCTCTCGTTGGTGCAGCCCAAGTTTCTGCGGCTTATTTGGATCCGGGACCTCGAAGAGCCGGCAGTAGCAGACCAGTCGACGGTGGGGCAGAGAAAGCACCTGCAGGGGACAGCCGGTCCAGCACTGCTACAACCACTCCCCTGCAGACTCTAGGGGCCATGTCTGAGAAGGCCAGCCCCTCCCTCAGCTGAACTTCACATTCAGAAACATCCTTTTCTGCACACTGGGCAGGGCAGGCCTCCTGCTCTATCCTCAGGAGCCATGTGAAACTCCTGCAGGACACGAGGAGGTGGCCTTCCCTCTGCTGAGGCCTCCCTCTGGACTCCTTCCCACAGCAGCTCACCTGAGCATCTGTTTATGAGCATCTGTTTACTCTCTCTCAATGTGTCCATCACACACACACACACAAGCCCCGAGTGCCTGCCAGCCCTTCTCAGTGTCTGCTACAGACATGCAGAGGCCTGGGGTGACTTACCCTCAATCCCAACCTCTAAAAGGTGCAGAGCCAGGATCTGATTCCTGGTCACAGGATTATTCCCGCTCTCCCATGCTGTCTGAGACCCTGAGTCAGCAGCTAACACTCTGCACACTGGCCCTCACATGCAGCTATAGCTCCACATAAGCGCACTCCCCAACCCACTGAAGCCCAAGCAATCCTCACGGCCCTAACTGCCCTGGCCCATGAAGAAGATGCATGTGTTCACGAAGACACAGGCTACAGTACTCTGAGCACACAGTCAAGAGGAGGATGCAGTGCACTGAGGGGAAGAAAGGCAAGACCCAGCCTGGAGTGTTCAGGGAGTTCAAGTACAGGTTGCAGGAGGATGGTGGGACCATGGGCCTGGAGGGACTGGCTGTGGCATTGGAAGGTGGATGTGGGCAGCAGTGAGGCCGCTGGGTGAAGGATGAACAGATATACTACATGATGGCCAGCTGTGTGTGTTTATAGAGGGAGTGTGTGTGTGTGTGTGTGTAGTCAGGGACATATGGGCAAAGCAAAGGTAGCAGCAGTAGTGTGCAGGGAGCTGGGAGAGCCCTGCACTGGATGGGAGGGCCAACAAGCAGCTGTGAGATGCAGCTTAGGGCCAGGTGGAGAGCAGCCATAAGGCACAGAGCAGGTGGGGCAGGAAAGGCCCTTAAAGGCTACAGTAAGGTCTCCTGCAGCCAGTTTCTGAGCTCTGGGACATGAGAGCAGAAATCCGTACTGACTGGCTGACAGCACAGGCCTCCTGGGTGGTGGAGGGCTCAGGGCCTAGAGGTGTGAGGTGCAGTCACTATGAAATCCCTGCACATCCCACTGGAAATGAACTCAAGCAGTCGAGGGCCAGCAGAGTCCCTGGGGTGGGCAGGGTAAAAGCCAGAAAGGAAAAGCAGAGCAATACTCACACAACCTAGCCCATGATGCAGGGATCCAATCTAGGGGGAAACAGCAAACAAAAAGGGAATTAATACTTCAGAGCCTGAGGGAGTTCAGGGCTGAGGCTCAAGTCAGGAAGCAGTCAATGGCCCATTCCTCCCCTGCAGGGTCCCTGTCCCTCAGCTCTGGCCAGCCAGGATGGTGAATCCCCCATTTGGCTGGCAGCATCTGTGGAGAGGCCTTCGCACAACCTCTTGCCCCATCAGAGGATTCTGGGATCACTAAGGAAAGCTGGTCAGAACCCTGGGCCAAGCTGAATCACACATGACCCTGTCCAGCCTTGAAATATCAAGTTCTCTTCAAATATGACCTGAAGCAAATGACTGTGATTTCCAATGATAACAACAGCCACTAAGAAAAACTACAGCTTTGAAATCATTGAGCAGTCCTGCTTAGAAAGGACTGGGTTCCAAACAGCATCAGGGCCTCTGGGTGAGCTGGCAGAACTGGCCTAGGGCCACACTACGGGAGTGGAATAAGAATTCCTGGCAGGTAGGACCCCTTGGAGATGCTGGGGTCTCTGACGTACCGGCTTCTTCCCCACAATGAGCTTCTCCACCTTCTGCACCTGGGACACATGGTCCTCATTGGTCTTCAGTTCCCGCTTGCGGATCCGTTCGTAGATCCCAATCAGCATCTCCCGGGGAATGTCCTCACCATCGTCCACGCCTGGACAAGGGACAGTAAGTGGAGTCTGGGCAGCAGAAACTCAGTGTGGCCCTGGGCCCCAGGCTGGTCCCAGCTTTTACAGTTTCTAATCCAAATGAGAATAGCAAATCTCTCACAGTTCCCACCAAAAACGGGATTCCCTAGATGGCTGGCTGCAACAGTCAGCACTGGGTCATGCTGTGGCTGCAGTCATGGGACATTTTCAGTACCTTACGATGTTCTTCTAAGTCCTCCTGACTTGGGATAAGCAGGGAGCTAGCTACTGAACAAAGACGCTAAGAGGCTGCCAGCCTTCTCCTTGCTGTACCCCTGTACCACTGAAACTCCACCCCTTCCTTGCTGATTCAACACACCCACTCCCTCACCACGTACCTAGGATGCATGCATGCTTGATGAATGTATGTTTGCTGAGTTCCATGTGGAGATGCCATGAAACCTTCCCAGAGATCACCCAATACAATGAACCTTGCCAAAACACCATCTCATTTAAGATTAGTTATGGAGCCAAGGACTACTCAGGGAACTCAGTCAGGGACTACTTCCTGGTTTTTGTCTTTCCTACAGGTTTTCTTACAGTAGTTTTTGGTTCAGAGCAAAATTAAGCCAGAGGTACAGAAATTTCCCACATACCCTGCCCTCCCCCTAACATGCAGCCTGGCCCAGCAGGGAGGCCCATGTGTTATAAGGGATGAGCCTGCACCATCAGGTGCTGCCTGTTCATTGTGGCTCCCACTGGGTGCCCTGGGTTCTATGGGTTTGGGCAGATGCACAGCACCATGTATACACCACCATTGCCTGTTCACCTCTCCTTTCCCCTCTCAACCTTGCCAGCCACCGTGACATTCCCTGGTGTCCAGGTGTCAGTCTTGCTGTCCAGCCCCCGTCACTTGGTGATATTTGCACTTGGGTTTCTTCCGTGTCTTTCTGTGGCTGCAGAGCTCATTCCTCTCGAGTACCGGAGTTATGACTGCATTACCTGGATGGACTGCATTTCACAGACTGCTCACCTGCTATGGGCTAGCTGTACTTGGGGTCCTGCCAACCATGAATACAGCTGCTATGAACATCCAAGTATAGGGCCCAGTGCGGTGGCCTAGCTAAAAAGTCCTTGCCTTGAACGCACCATATGGGCACTGGTTCTAATCCTGGCAGCCCCTCTTCCCATCCAGCTCCCTGCTTGTGACTTGGGAAAGCAGTCGAGGACGGCCCAAAGCCTTGGGACCCTGCCTCCGCGTGGGAGACCCAGAAGAGTATCCAGGCTTCTGGCTTCGGATTGGCTCAGCACCGGCCGCTGCAGTCCCTTGTGGAGTGAATCATCAGACGGAAGATCTTCCACTCTGTCTCTCTTCCTCAATCTATATATGTGACTTTGTAATAAAAATAAATCTTAAAAAAATCCAAGTACAGTTCTGGTATGGACTGACTGTATATTCAGCGTCTTTGAGTATCAAGTTTTCACACTCTATAACAGCCATTCAAAAGCCAACTGAAACAAACTGGAAATAAAGTTGATGGTGAGGGAACTTCCCTACAGGTGCCTCAGTCACCCTTTACTTCCCCTGATGCCCCCAGGGCCCTTGTGCTGCCGCTCTCCCTGGGCAAATTGATTCACAGAAAATGTGTGTCAGAGGGTATGTGTGGAAAGAGCAAGTTGGACTCGGGCTCAGTACAGAAGGCCAGCCTGACTTGGGGAACCCGGTGTCCTGCGCAGCACTGCCACTCACTTGCAGTGTGACCCTCTCTGAAGACACAGGAACATGGGACAGAACACAGCCCAGGTGTGAGATAAGGCACCAGAGGCTCACTCCCTGGGATCAGGGGCATTCAGCTTTGGCTCTGGAAGTGGTGCCAACACCTCACCGCTGGGCAGTGGTAAGAGCGTTTGTAAGACAGAGACAAACCTGAGAAATGCCCTGAGTTGCTGACTGGCCAACTGACCAAGCCAGACCCTAATTCCTCTGGGCAAATCCCTGCTGTCCCTTCCAGGTGTTCCACATCAGAGGAGCCTCAGAGGATGTCAGAGAGGATCCCAAATCATTAACCAACCAACCAACCCACAGGTTGCACTGTTGGCTTAAACTGCATGTGGGGCCATGTGGGATCCTGTGAAACCTAGAATCAGGCTAGGTCCAAAGAGGAGAAGAGGGAGGAGAGGCCCAGGGATGCATGGCAAGGAGGCAGATGGTCGACCTCGGAGTGCACCCCTACACACGTCATGGGGCTATGGCAGCCCTAAGCCGTGATCAGCCACCAATGAGCTCTCAGATACTTGGTGTCACAGGACTTACAGGCTTAACTGACTAGAGCCCTCAACACCCCTCTGACCTAAAAGAGAGCCACATGTGGTGAGTGCTCGAGACCACACCTCAACTGGCTCACTGCCCTTCCCGCCTCTGACTGGAACTGCCTGGGTGTTCATTGCTAACCTCAGCCAATTTCGGGAGCCATCTTGCTCTCTGGAGAAATACCAGCTCCCCAGCTGTTCTGTAACAACGGCACCTGCCACCAGAGGGCAGTCAAGGATGCCGAAATTACCTGGAGAGAAGCAGGGGTTACTACTTCCCGGGGCAATCTCCCTGTTCAAGGAAAAAGGAAAGAACTAGTTTCATAAAAATCCGGAGCAAAAGTGGACAACTTAAATGGCTCAGCAAAATTATAAAGTTAGACTTGTATCAAGACAGCTTTTCTTTAAGCTTTTTTTTTTTAGTTGTTTTTGTTTGGAAAGCACAGAAATAAAGGGACAGGCAGAAAGTTGGAGATCCTCCATCCACTAGTTCATTGCTCAAATGCCAGCAACACCCAGGGTTGGGCCAGGCTGAAACCAGGATCCAACCCTGACTCTAGGTCTTCCATGCGGATGGCAGGGACCTCAGTGCTTACATTTGAGCAGGTGGAATCAGAAGCTAACTCAAATGTGGGGTGCAGACACCCCAAGCAAAGAGGCCTTGTCATCACTGACCCCTCTCAGATCAGCAGTGCTTTCCACAGACAGGGAGCTGCCCGAGCCACCACATCTGCAGCCAGGTGCCACCCCCTCTACCACTCAAGGTACCGTGTCCTTCTCCCTGGGTTTATTTTTACGGTCATCTCCTACATGTAAAAAATGCTCATGGTTTTCCATTTACAGTGAAGAAATAAAGTTCCCCTTTTACATATGTACGTTTAGATGAAAAGCAAAAAAGGAGTGGAGAACCCCCAGTTTCATCCTTCACAAATAAGCTGCAAGTATCACCTCCCCCAGAAGTCGGGTCTCCCAACACCCCTGAGACTGAGGCACGAGTCGTCCAGCCTGGGCACCGTGCGCTCCCTAGGACAGCACTCGGCATCCCCCCTGGTACGTGCAATGTGCTCCCCAAAGGCCCTGCATGCTGACACCAGGCACCACCTGGTGCTCCACATATTTCTGGGTCACCTGTCCTCCCCCCAGCCAGGGGGGGGGTGTGGGGGTTAGTATACGGGACGGCTGCATCTCTGAGCCAGGGCACCTCAGGGACAGCTCACCTCGGAGGTTCTTGACGAAGTCCTCCAGCTTCATCTTCCGCTCAGGCTTGACGTTGGGGCTGTACATGTCTGTGTTGAGCAGGATGATGGCGAAGGCCAAGATGAAAATGGTGTCTGGGTTCCGGAACTGCCTCACCACACCAGGGTTGCAAATGCAGTACCGCTGGCTGAAGCAGAGACGGAGGGCAGGGTCAGGGACCTGGGTGAGGGAAGGAAGTCTACCCCTCAACCCTTGGCATACAGAGACATCAACTGTCTGGCAGAGAATCAGCCCTGACAACCCAGTAGCCCTCCTAGCTTTACTGGTGATCCCTCAGTGGGGCACATGGCAGCCTGGGCAGAGGGCTACATTTGCCAGCTCCCCAAGATGTAGGAACAACCATAGTACTAAGTACGGTTTATACAGCATGAGCAGATATGGTGTGCACAGCTCTAGGACTGTGCCCTTGTCCCCACTACCTGGAGAGACCTCACAGTGGTGATGGGCCAGCCATCAGGGGCCTTGAGGCGAGTGGGGCTGGGCCCCTCGGAGGGCACTGTAGGTGCACGGTATGTCAGCCATGCTCCCAGGCACCTGGCTCCACCGAGGACAGGAGGTGCGGGTCTTGGTCCTGACCATCTGCAGGTTTCTGAAGAGGAACCAACCTCCACCCTGCCCCACACAGGGGCCCAACCTGAAGGCCTCAATGAGCCGCTCCACTTTCTGAGCCTCCCCCTGGACACGGATGTGCGCCTGGAACTTGCGGAGGGCCTCATCCAGCTCCATGGCAGAGAAGTCCATTTCGTCCACCACACAGCTGGAATAGAGATAAATGATTCTGTGGCTGGCTTTCTCAAATCAGCAAAGAGCACCTCAGGATATGCCCAACAGCCTCCCAGGCTTCCAGGTTCCATGAAGCCCCTGTCCTATAAGGAGACACTTACACTCATTTGTGTGGAGAGCCCTTGCAAATCACCAGCAGGGCCCAGCTAAGGACGCTTGACCGTGCAGCTGCTGTAGCTGCACACAGCCAGGCTTACGGCAGAGTCTTCATGAATCCCACAGGAAGGAGGGAATACAGCTCCCATTTGCATGACGACCAAACGGGGGCCTTGACACCGACTTTTCTGTGTCATGTTTGGCTCTATCTTGAGGGCAGTGCGGGCTGGGTCTTATGGGTGCCTTTCCAGGGCCATTTGGAGAGGCAAAGTGGTGAGTGGTTTCTCATGGCCCCGCCTCTCGTATAACCTTCCCAGTCCCTGCAACGGTGACCTCTGAACAGAGAAAGGGAGGTCTATCCCAGGAGCTCGGAAGGCAGAGACACTTCCCACCAGCAGGCCAGGGTGCTACAGTCGCTTCCACGGAGCTGTAGGGCTGTTCCTCTGCTGCAGGCCAGAGGCACAGGCTCAGGCTGTGGCTACCCCGCGCCCTGCTCACAGCACTTCAGGCTCTTTGGACAATGGCCTGGAAAGCAGCTGCTGAGCATGGGGGGAAAGGACTGAGCTGGGCAGGCAGCACGCAGCCAGATTTGCTGACCAGCATCAGAAAAGGCCTGAGAACGCTGGGTGGTGGGTCGGGGGGAGCCACTGCTTCCTGAGGCCACTGCTATTTTCTGACAGGAGAACAATGTGCGGATTTCCTACAGACTAGGAACCTGAGCTGAGGAGTAGCAGAGCAACGGCTGTAGGAGATGGTGGAAGGGGGGAGGGGGAGCCACACCAATGCCCCAGAGCGCTAATGGGCTTTGCTCACAAGGGTTTGAAAGTTGGGCAGGGCCACAACGCCATTGCCTAATGGCTAAAGTCCTCGCCTCATGGGCACTGGGCTCCCATATGAGGTCAGTTTGTGTCCCGGCTGCTCCACTTCCCATCCAGCTCCCTGCTTGTGACCTGAGAAAGCAGTTGAAGACGGCCCAAAGCCTTGGGACCTTGCACCCACATGGGTGCTCCTGGCTTGTGCCTCCTGATCAGCTCAGCTCCAGCTGTTGCAGCCAGTAGGGGAGTGAACCAGTGGACAGAAGATTTTTGTCTCTCCTTCTCTCTGGAAAGCTGACTTCCCAATGAAAGCAAATAAATCTTTAAAATGAAGGGGGGAGGGAGAAAGAAGAGGGGAGGGGAGGGAGAAAGAAGAGGGGAGGAGAGAAAGAAGAGGGGAGGGGAGGGGAGGGATGGTAACCCTGGTGTGTGCATCCATGCAGGCCTTTGTGTTGGGCGGGGAGCATCCAGGCTATCCCCTACCCTTGCCTTGATTTCTTCGCCTGTGACCGTAAGTGTGGTCACTCCCCCAGAGTCATGTGGGATGACAGGAGGTACACAGTTAGGCCTTCCTCCTGAGCAATGTGCAACTATGACTTCAGTGACAGACACGCCCTGGGTGTCCCCCTCACCAGTCCTCTCTGCTGATGGGCCAGTGGAAGGGATGGCTTTTGCTAGTGCACATTCAGTTCTGAACGCTGCTTTACGTTTTCTAGTCTCGCAGGTTGAATGCAGTCATCCTGCAGTAACCTCTCTCTACACAGGGCCTGGGGATATCTCCCAGGTCACTGGTGGGCAAGGAGAGCAGGTCATCTGAACGGAGTTGGTCTCCCATTGTGCCAGCCTGTTCACACATGGAGGAGTGGTCAGCTGCTCTGAGCCCCTCCACTCTTACTGATGGCATGGTAGGCACAGGTGGGGCGAGCAGTCCATGCTAGCCAGGCAGACAATGGGCAGAGGCAGGGAGCCCCAGACCTCCTGTACATGCTGCTCCTGCCAGCTCGGTCACTAGAGGCCTGCAGCTGTCCAGTGTTGGGTTGATTCAAGGTTGCTCCGGGTGATGGACGCACTGAGGACATCAGAGAGATGGAGTGCCTGGGGTCAGTGTGTGACAAAGTCAGCCTGAAGGTAGGTGCCCACGCATGTGCCTGGCAGGGTGTGGGAGTGTGGAACAGAGTGGAGGTGGGGCAACTCACTGCATTACGTATATCTAGGAGCAAGGAAGAGAAAAGGGAGGAATCAAATATCTGGGGGAGAAAATATATTCGTATGAATAAGATTTTTTTCCTGGTCATTGTTTCTGCAATGGTACAGTCTAATTATCTTCATGGTGTTTGCACATGTCAGGAAGCATCTGGAAATGACTGACAGTATCTGGAAGGTGCTATGCAAATACTGCACCATTTCACAGAAAAGGCCCAAGGCTAATCCTCCACCTCCAAGTGCCGGTATCCTACATGGACACCAGTTCTTTTCCTGGCTCTTCCACTTCTGATGTGTTCCCTGCTTGTGGCCTGGGAAAGCAGTTGAGGATGGCCCAAAACCTTGGGACCCTGCACCCATGTGGGAGACCTGGAAGATGCTCTTGGCTCCTGGCTTCAGATGGGTTCAGCTCCTGCCATTCTGACCACATGGGGTAAACCAGCAGATGGAAGATCTTTCTCTCCTCTCTGACATTGTGCCTTTCCAATAAATTAAAAGAAGAAGAAGGCGGCAGGAACACTTGGGGTCCTGGAACCACTTCCTACTCAGTTCCCAGGGATGACCATGTGCACCTGGCTTTGAGTGTATGGCACAGAGGGTACAGGAGGGGACGCGTGGTTGACAGTGCGTGTCCTTTGTGGGACTGGCTCCCATGCACTCACTCAAGCACATCGCGGTTGAACTGCTTCTGCCGGTTGCCCAGGAACTCGCCGATCATCTGCCGGCTGAGGCCCTTGCGCTGCAGCAGGAAATGGGCCACTCCCACTGGCGTGTCAGGTACGAAGCCACGCTCGATGAGGTACTGGACTCCCTTCTCGGGCTTCCTAGGAGTGTGACAAAAAGCACCTCAGCCCCAGCTGCCCATGTCCCCAGCTGGTGCCTGAGGTGGGCCACCTCCACACATAAGGCAGCGACAGCCTCCTGCCCCTCCCCACAATCTCACTTCCTCAGGCATTTAGGGACTTCTAGTCACACTTCATCTCTCGGGGGAGGACTGACAGTTCGGGCTGACAATCGGACACCCTGGATTGAGATATCCTATCCTTTCCTACCCTAAGCCTCAAATATGGGGGGAATCTGTAACTCGGAAGCACCCATACGCCATGCCAAAAACCGGAGGGGTATGTGCCTCTGTGGGTGTAGAAGCGATCCTCACTTGTCCCCTCCTCCAATTGCATTTCCATTCCCCACCCCCGCTGCCTGACCCTGGTCCACACCAAGTTCTCCGCTCCCCTTGGTGTGGAAGTCAATGAGCCATGTTGTTCTTCAAGGCGGACTTGAACCTTCCAGCTCCTGACAGATAATAAAACATTCACACTGGTAACATCTAGACACGAACACTTCCTGCACAGTCGCCGCCGAGGCCTCCCCAAATCCACACACCTGATGTCAGCACTCTTCAGATGCAAAGTACTATGACCCAGCCAGGGCAGGGAACTTGCCCCATCGTGAGGCCTGACCACGTTGTGTACCCCTCGCCCACCAGCATGCACTTAGGAAGCACCAAAGGTTCCTGTGCTGATTTTCCACTGACACAAGAGCAAAGGGGACATGCGAAGGGACCAATTCTACGCTGGGACCACAGCAGTGGCCTTGTCAGGAAAGTCAAAGAGGGTTTCAGAGAGAAGCTGGGCTGACCCTGGAGTGCTGAGTGTGTCCTCCAGGAGACAAGGCCCAAGGAGCCCAATGTTATCACCAGCCCAGTCCTCTTGGTAATCAACGTATGCACTGCCAGGTCTGTGAGGAATGAACCTGGATCCTTCAGAACCGTACGAAATGGGTCCAGCATGCCACCTCTGCATCTGCCCAGCTGTCTGCAGGGGTCAGGTGGGGTCCACAAGAGCTGTGTGGGCATCACACTAATCCTGACATACCCTCAGGCCCTGGGTGCAGGCACAGCTGTGTGTGGCACGCCATCCATGTGTGTCAGGCAGGTCCCTTCCTTCTTTTGGGGCTGACTTCCTGTTTATCCTGTGGTATTCTTTCATTCAGATAACCTGCAAAGGGGGTCTGATTGTTGAAGGAGACAGGCTGGCATGAGAGCTTTGAGGATGGTGACATGTGACCCTTAGGGACAGGTGTCTTCCTCTGTGGAGCCCACTAGGCCACTCAGGGGAACTGCATGGCACTCTAGGAGCGAGTCATCAGGCCAGACTGCCTCTTCATCCCTGCATTGCATGTCCTCAAAGTCCCTGAAGGACTTGTGGTAGGTGGGTGCACGTGCTAGGGAAATTGGGATTTCCCAGGAGTCTGTGAGGCAGCAGTGTGGCTTGGAGCCCACAGGTGCTGGAAGGAGTCATCTCTCCCACTAACTGGGCAGTCATGTTTGAAACTTCACCCTGACAGGCAAAGGTCAAGGTCCTGCCGTTTCCTGGGCAGGATGAAGGAATGAAGTGTCTGCCTGTCCCACTGCCTGTGCAACTCCTGGTAGACAACAGGGCCCTGCAGACTATTTCCATGTACAAGCAAAACCAAGCCTCCTGGCTACAAGGTGACCCTGCTATTTTTACCCCAGGATGACCACATACCCTCACCTTTTTTCCAGGAGCTTGGCACAGAGCAGTGGCCAGCCAGTTGAATCTTGGCATGCAAATAGAAATAGATGGTGCTATTCCCTGCCCATGGGCTTGTCCAAGGCCGTCTGTCTCTGTTCTTAAAGGCTGAACTGTCAATACTGGTTGTCTCTCCTGAACAGGAACAACATTTCCTCCTCCCCAGGATGCCTCTTTCTTCCTGCCAGTTCTGGGTATTTTGTCACTCACCCCAGGCATCCTATCAACTACCCCAGGTGCTTGTCCATTATGGTTGCTGATATGGGGCCCGTGCTTCTCTCCTTCCTTGGGAAATGAGTAGGCTCCCTTCTTAGCCACCACCCACCCTCCCCCATCCCCACCTGCCCTGCTGACATGCAGTTCCCTATAGCACCAGGGACTTCCAGGATAAGCCTCCTCTGTACTGGCATTGCTCAGAGCACATGGAAAAGGGCAGCAGCAGCTGCAGGGAACAAACAGGCTCCTCTGGGATTCAGGAAGGACCAAGAGTCTCTCTCGTGCCAGACACAGAGCAGTGGGCATGTTGGCTGTGAGCAGAGCCAGCTGAGGACACACCTTAGCACATGAGCGGGTCATCACCTGGCATCTACAAAGACTAAAGGGACTGCATGGTGGAGTGTAGCAAAAGGCTCCTGAAGGCGGAACAGAGAGGGGCCTTCTCTAAGCAGGTGACCAGGAACACTGGCCCTAGTGATCAGGCACCTTCTGGGCCTCAGAGTGGGGGAGAACGTGTCTTGCATTGCTACACTGTCCCAGGGTGGTGGAGAGTAGAGGCCCTGGAGGAGTGGGGAGTGCTGAGCAATGATCAGCCAGACCACACTGTCCCAGACAAGGCAGGGTAGGGCAGGGACAGGACGTGATTTCCACGTTGAAGAAGTCCCTGCTGGCTACTCTGAGGATGGACACAGCCAGCGCCTTGGCAAGCATCCGAGCAACAGGGGAGTGGAGGCAGGAACAAAGGCAGAGTTTAGAATATGGTCTTAGGGTAAAGATGACAATGTTTGCTCCTGAATTTGTAAGGGTTTGGGGGTAAGGAACTGGGGCAGGGACAGCATAGGCAGCACAGGGGAGGGACAAGAGATCATAAATCCAGAATGGGTCCAGCTTTCAGTTGAACCTCCTTGGGATAGGCTCATTCCTAGACCAGTGATTAGAACTTTCCTAGCACATATTTAGAAAGGTGTGTTGGCAGGAGGTCCAGGCAGGGAGCTGTGTGGGATAGGCTGATGAGGACAGGCTGGGAGGCAGGGTACAGGGCTCCAGGGTGGGCATAGGAGCCTCGAACGGCCTCCCTGGCAGCAGACAGCCAGAATACTGCACCCCTGCTGGTGTGCGGCCCCTTCTCATATTCCCAGCACTCTTACCAAGCCTTTATGAGACCCTTCTTGCTCCAAACAGTTCCTGATGGCTCTGAGGCTGCCAGGATTTCCACCCACTGCCCCAGCACACAGTTCCTTGCTGTGTGCTGAAGGAGCACATCCCCTGGGCTCGTCTAAGAGTAACACTAGCTGGCATGCACCGTAGGGAACTCATCTCTCTCCAGAGAGATGGTGATGGTGGCGGGGGGACCAGGGGTCTTAATCGGAGCACAGAACTACAAACAGATGGAGTATGTGTCATTTGTCTGGGTAGCTGTGCAACCCTCTATGGTCACCTCCCTCCCTCCTTCCACAAACACAGATTGGACAATTTCTCTGTCAGGTGATGTGCTAGCACAGTTAACATCATACCCAGCGCCCATGCTTGTGGGGGGAGTGTCATAAAAGGCACACTACAGCACTGGGACCAAGTGCATGGTCATGGGAATCAGAAGTCTAGGTTTAAATCTCAGCTCCATTTACTAGCTGGCTGGCCTATGGCAAGCTGCTAAACCTCTCTGTGCTTCTGTACAATGGAGATATCAACAAGGCACACAGCAGAGTCATTATGAAGAATAAATGATGTACTACATCACAGTGCCATGCCCCTAAGTCCTCAAAAACCACACTGTTGGTTATGTGACATAAGCAAAGGCCACAGTCAGGGAAAACTACACCAGGTGATAACACAATGTCCGGAAGCTGAGAAGAGCAGGAGGGACAGCCTCAGGAAAGCTCTCCTGCACGGTGGGACATTAAACCTGGTACCAGGAAAAGTGTCACTGTAGAGGGAATGGCCCATACAAAGCCATACTTGACAGGTAACAAAATGAGGTCACAGAAGGGTAAGTAACTTAGCCTAAGGCTGCCCAGCAAGATAACTTCCTCTTCAGCACCAAGATGCTTCTAAAATTCATCCTCCCCTCCCACCCTTCAATGCTGCTGAAAAGCAGCTCCCCCCAGCGCCATCGAGTGCTCCTCATCTCCTCATGGTGATTTCTCAATGCACTCCTCCAATTACTTTTTCTTTCACTTGTTTAGCTCTACCCTGCAAAGACCCAGGAAAGTGACAACAGTGGCACTTTGGCCATCTACACCTGACCCCCACTATGGCAAGCTGGGTGTTCAGCCTTCTCTCCCAAACACTTCAGGACAGTTGCTGTCGGGGAGCCACAGCCCTGGGCCTGCTTGGCTGCTCCTGGGACCAACACTAACTGCCTTCTCCAAGGGTGGAGCTTTTCTTGATCCCTCAGGCTCAGACTCAAGTGTCACAAGGAAGCACACAGGGACCGGCCCCTTCTGCCGCAGGCATCTCTCCTCGGCTCTTGGCTACAAGCTCTCGGCAGTGGTGAGCTGCAGCAGGCTCTGGGGAGGAGCAGGCACAAGACGGACCAGTACTTCAGAAAACCTCCTGGCTGCCACAGTGCCAAGGACACACCCCCTCTTGTCCCAGCATGACTGAGAGCAGTGGGGTTCTCCAGCTGTGTCCAACACTGGAGCTGCCTAGCACCCCCTCGAGAGCTGGAATCCCAGGACCCTTGTGAGCAAAAAATGGAGCCCACCCAACTTCTACTCTGAGGGTGGTCACAGAGGCAAGGAGGGTCCCCGCCTTGTTTGGCACTCAGAGAATCCCAGAGCACTGCAACTACCTTCCAACTCGGTGGTCCAGGTCTAGAGCTGCCAAGAAGCCACTGTGGCAGCGTGGACTTGTTCACATGTCCCCAGGGCCAGGAAACTCAGCCCTCCCAGGACTGCCTGCTTGATCCTGTTCTGATTTTCCCTATAATTCTCTCTGACAGCATGAGCTGGAAGTGGGCCTTCCTCTTATTCATCCTATAGACAAGGTGGGACATTATCTTCAAAAACGTGTTTGGCTTGCCCTTCAGGGCCCCCCTTGGTACTGTATTTCTTTTAGGGTGGTGGAGGTGGGGCTCAGCAGCAGCCACTGAGAGCCAAGGAAAGTGCTAAAGCCCCAGGGGCTCTGATGGTGGCTAGAGTGACAGCCCACAGTAACCCACGTCTAGAGAAATGGAACTGGCCACCTTCAAAGATGCAGCTCAAAGTGCTCCTGTGAGGGCTGGTGGGGGCATGAGGTGCAGGGCCTAGAAAGGGATCAGAAGGCACTCCAGTCAGAGGGATTCCAGCCTGGGGCAACAGGCAGATCCAAGCTCAGCCTGGCCCTGGCCTGAGCTCGGACTGCCACTTGGGAAATCTAGCAACTTGGCTGCACAGCCTCCAGTGCCTTTGCAGTGGGCTGGGGTTCTGCTACTCAGAGCAGAACTGCCAGTGTTTCAGGGCTCCAGAGAGACTTGGCAGTGGGCACAGATCTATGCCAAAGGCTTTACTAACTGGAAAGCTCCAGATCTGTGAGAGGAAACAAACTGTCGATTAGCCTGTTGAAATAACACAATTTTAGGAAGGCAACTTCTGTCCATATCCCCCCAACACCTGGCAGTGGCAGGATCATTACCCCTGCAGTACAGAGGAGGCCTGTGACTGGAGACTGAGGCACGGCTGATCTGGGAATTCTGTCAGGCACCACCACCCTTCCTAGCATCCTGCAGCCTCTGTGAGGGGCAGAGGAGTGTCCCACATGAAATCCCAATGGCTCCTGCCAATGGAGAGCCCAGTGGGTCTGTTCCTGTCAGGGCTTCGAACCAGCATGTCTAAGAATGATGGGACTATTCTGGGTCCGTGTTGCCCAATAGAAATAGCCACCCACCACAAGTGACCAGGGAGCCCTGGAGATGCATTTAGTGCACTTCATGGACTGGATTCATTTTCGTTTTCATTTAAATAAACTTGACTTAACTTAAAGAACCCACCAGTCCTATCCCACAATGGCATAAAGGGGGCAGGTTTCCCAAGTCCACATTGTAGCAGAAGGTGATTCCACTCCCCATCACAAATTTCCATTGTTCCTAAGGAGTTGACCCTGAAATTTGCTTTGTAGAACCACCACCCAGGAAAGGCTCAAACTGAAGAAGAGCCAAGGCCAAGATCTTTTTTTTTTTTTTTTTTTTAACAAACTGAAGAGGGCTTTTTGCCCTAATAAGAATACATATAAAACTGTAGCAGGTAAAAAAAAAAAATCTGATGTTGGCAGAAGAATAAACAAACAAATCTTCTAGCCATTAGCATGGAGCTCTGCAAGGATCTTTATTCTGTTTCCTAATATGTCCCAGGCCCCTACAATAGTGCCTGGCATATAGACGGTGGCCAACACATAGTTGCTGAATAAAAGGGTGCAAGCAGAGACCCATGTTCATGTGGGAATGAGATGACATTTCACGTTAGCAGAGAAAGCACAGATGATTCAACTTGGAGGCCACTGGTTAATTCATGGGGCAAGATAAAAGACTCTAGCTTTGTCTCCAAAATAAACTCCAGACTAAAGTCCTCAAGTGTACAAAACAAAACTAAGAAAGTACTGAAGAAGTTTTAAAACTGTTTGATTTGGGGCCGAGTCTTCGAAAACAAAACATAAAAAGACAGTGTGTGTGTTTTAAAATGCTGATGATCTGTCTAATTAAAATTATTATGCAACAGAACATAAAAGTTTAGAAATGTATAACTAAAAACTCTTATCTCATAAATGTAAGATGAATTTTATAAGGTGGAATTACATCTCCAAAGACTCAAAATCAAAAAAAGAGATGAAAAGACAAGTGACAGGATAAAATGTTTGTGATTACCAGAGATTAGCACTCATAGCACATAAAGAACTCCCACCAACAGATCCTCGAGATTGGCAGACAGTCACAGAAAAAAATGGGCGGGGATATTAACAGGCATCTTAAAGAAAATCCATATATGGACACACCCCCTTTTGGAGAAAGCTGCGGAACAAAAGAGACAAAATATGCACCCTCTGGCTGGAGGGAAAAGGCTAATCCCCAGAACTAACACGCATGGGGCAAGAACACTCAAATCCAACCACAGAGGGTGAGTCTGGGAACAACCCCTCTTCAACAGCAATTTGACAGTTTCTCTGTCAGTTAAAAGTGTGGCTACCTAGAACCAAATAATTCCACTGTAGCTATATTTCCTAGAGACTCTCTTGGGACTCTGTAGAAGGTGCTCCCATCTACTCAAATACTCTAGGAAGTCATGAACAAGTGGAGGAACAATGCCAAAACCCTACAGGTCTCTCCACATGGACTACCACACTGTAGCAGACAGGAAGACCAACAGCAAGCTGTACAGTAACAACACAAAGGGCAAAGGTCATATAGTCCCAAGCCACAAATGATGTCATGAAGGACCAGGTGTGCCACATTCTGCTCTAGCACCACATACATCTCACAACCCTATCAAGTAGACACCATTGATAAGCCCTGTTTCACAGATACGTACACCCAACAGCAAGCTGCACTGCTCAGTGAAGAGCAGGTAGAGAACAGGAAAGTCAGGATCTGAAGCTAATCAGCCTAGTCCCAGAGCTTAACCATGTAGCTTCACCATGGTGATCCATGGTTCCTTAGAAGGACACATGAACATGCACAAATAAAAGATCTGGAAGAAAACAGGAGACTCCCAGAGACTATGAACCCAAAAGGATGTGCTCCTATAGCTTTTCTTTTCTATGGAACATGCAGTCACAGGTCACACATGGAATTTACAATGAAGAGAACAACAACGACTTCACAAAAGCTAAAACGAACAGGTTGACGGAGGTTGCCAGTTCCTTACTGCTGGTCTCCACTAGTCCACACCTGTGAAATCTCCCTTAGTCCAGGCTCTCCCCAGGGACCTGGTATAGACATAACCTTGGGGTATTTCTAAGCAGCCATGGGAGCAGACTTTTGGGACAGAGTTGGAAATGAACTCCCTCCCACTGTGTTACCCAGCACCCTAATGTGACCTTCTAAGAAAGCTAATGCCTGGCCCTAGCTCCTAGGATCGGCATCAGTAACCACTGGGCAGGCTGGCTACATCCTTTCCATATCTACAATCCCTGGGGGAGCCCATACCAGAACAGTGTTTGACAAACTTAAATCCCTGAGGCCTGGTACCCGGAAACTGTGAGAGCTCAAGTTGAACAGTCTGCCAATCAACACTCCTCCAAAGCAGTGCTCGGCCTCATCCCCTTCCTCTTGCTATTTTTTGCCTGTGTTAAGAAGAAATACTGCTTTACTCCTCAGATCTGTGCCCAGGACTGCCCTAACTGACTGGGACTCTGGCGAGAGGCACACATTCAACTCCGTGCATCCAAATCACAAAGCTCTCAAGACCTTGAGTCCTAGCCTCCCTCAAACACGGGTCCTGCGTCTGCCCTGGGACTCCCAGGCCTAGGGATCTGCATTAGCTCTTGTGCCTGGTTGGACATGGCTCTGGATCTCCACCCTCCCAGCCTGCTGTGTTATACAGCTGGTTAGATGTGATGGACAGGACCCAAGTTCCTTTACCACAGCAAATCCCTCATTCTATGTCTACATGGTGGTCAGTGAAATCTGCCATCCCCCATGAGAGTGGCCTTCATGAGAGACCAGATCTCTACTTCTGGGGTTGTAATCTCCCCTGAAAACAGACACCAGGTAGTGTCAACACACACACACTAGCACCTTCTGAATCTCAGGGCATGTAAAGCCACACAGCGGTGAAAGCACACACACTCCCTGCTTGCCGTGCCAAGGCCCTGAGTTGTGACTGCTGCTGGCCCTGTGCTCCCCCTACGCTGCCCTCCTTGTGGCTGTAGGGGGATGGCACTCACTTGTTAAAGAGGTTCAGGCCGATGCGGTAGTGCCTCTTGCGGATGACATCGTTACTGAAGGCAGGCGAGTCCCAGCTGTTGCGGGTCTCCTTGTGGTATGTCTGCTTGCTGAGGGTCTGCTCCCGCAGGCTGTCCCTAGAGGAGGACTCGGAGCTGCAGTTGATGGTGTCATTGGAATTGGATGTGCTGTTGATGCTGTCATTGTCCCCGTCTGAGTAGTCTGACTCGGACTTGCTCTGCCGGTTGGCAGAACCATTAATGGCTAGGTGGCTGTCTAGGGGTCTGGGGGGCCGGGGCCGCAGATCAGGCTCCTCTCGTGGGAGGACTTTAGGAGGACCACCGTGGGGGCCGTGCTTGGGGCTGCCTTGCTGTCCAGCGAGGCTGCGTTCATAGGCGCTCTGCCTCTTGAGCGAGCCGCGTTCTGAGCGGTCACTGAGGTCCACAGAGCTGTCACTGGGTGGCTCAATGGTGAGCAAAGGCAGGTGTTCTACCCGCAGCCGCTGCTCCTGACGCTCCAATGAGGGCGTGCTCCGGCAGCTTGTATCTGTGTCCGCCTTGTCGTCCTTATGGGCCAGGGCCCAGTAATCCTGGGCCACACCCCCAGCCCGCAGCCGCAGCTCAGATTCAGTGCTAGACGGCCGGTCCCCGACCTGTGACATGGGCAGAGGTGGTGACAGTTCCTCCTCATCGATGTACAAGGTCACATCACTGTAGGAGGCTGTCATCTCATCCAGTTTGTGGTGGTCCATGCTGTGCAGGGCCGACTTGGGCTCACTGTCCCGGGCCCGCGCCACATCAGGAACGGGCGCCTCCTCAGTGTGTAAGCTGCGGCAGTTGAGGGCATCATCGATGGACTCGGCCAGGGACTTCACCTGCCGGGAGAAGGCGTCCTCCAGCTCTGTGATGGCATCTGCAAAGTCACTGGAAGGGGCTGGGGACTTGAGTGCAGATGACTCACCAAGGTCGCCACACTCAGGGGGCACCAAGGCTGCCAGCTGGGTGCCATCGTTGGTCACTGAGACCTGCTTGCCCTCGAAGTAGGAACTGTGCACTTTCTCAGGCCCCTCGAAGGAGAACTGCATCCTCATGTTGGACAGCACGATCCGGCGCGACATGCGGTTCTCTGACATGGAGCTGCGCAGCCGCTCAAAGTTCTTGTTCATCTGGTACTGGCGGAACGCCGTCTGGATGGTGCGGGCCGCATGGCGGGTCACGAGGCGCCCCCCATACTTGCGTTCTAGCATCTCCACCTGGTGGAGGACAGAGAGAAGAATGAGGGCACCTACTGGCTCCCTAACCCCCAAAGGGCTATGACCACAAGGAAAGTCCTGGCACTTCTCACTGCACTGCTCACAGTGACAGCCTGTAAGTCTCCCAATGGACTTCACAGACAATGCCTCCAGCTCACAGAAGCCTTGGATCCTGGCACAGCCTGTGCTGAACAGCTTCACAAACACACACAGGGTGGTAGAAGAAACGGAGGCATGCACAGGTTAGGAGGCCTGCAAAAGGTCTCAGCAAGGCCCTGAGTGCTGAGCATGGTCTGCAGGCTTCAAGACCAGGTGCCTGGCTTCCAATGTTGCCTCACTTAGCCACAGAGCCCTGAGAAAGCTTTGGAACTGCACAGCTCCTTAGTTTCCTCATCTGTAAATTGGGAACATCACTGGGATCTCCCACATAGCACAAGTGGGAGGAAGCAAAACAGCCAGCACATACCAAGCACAGATGCAATTTGCCAGAAGACCCTCAGTTGTACCCCCCAGAATACACTTATGGTTTACAAACACCCAAACTTCTCCAACTGAGGGGCAGAGGAGAGAGCCCGCCTGGCACCCTGGAGCGCTATGGATCCCCTCTCCCTTTGTCAGAACCAGGGTCCTCAGGATCAAAGGCAAGACAAGACAAGAAATAGGCATCTCTACCATGTCAGGCCTCTCTGGGTACTGGGGCACAGCAGGCATGTAACATAGGGCCAGGAGAGATATCAGTTCCTCTGGAGAAGGTAAAACACCCCATACGCTGCTGTCTGGTCCCAGATGCCTGCCACGTGCCAGGCATCCCATCAAACAAAGCAACAGAAATGGAGACACCAGGCCCTGCCCTTGAGAAGCAGGGTCTGTTAAGAGGACTAGACAGACCCAGGTCTGAAACATGCTAAACTGAGCAAAACAAAAGCTGTGGCAGAGTAGAGTTAGACAGTAGCTCAGGGCTACCAGGGTTGGTGAGAGGAACCTTACACACCTGGTAATTTGGCTTCTCGGGTGTGTGGCCTGCATAAGTGACTTCCCATTTCTGTGTACCCCTCTGCAAAGCAAGTCAGCATCACTCCGTCTGAATGTGCTGGCTCTGTGGGGCCACCCTAACTCAGCCACGCCCCTGAAACAGGCCAGAAGAGCTTCCAAACACCAAACACATCAGCTCTTCTTGGGCCTTTGGGAGGGGCAGGCAGGCTGCATAGAAAAAGGGATTCAAAACGGCTTTTCCAAAGCCCAGCCAGGCCCACAGACAGCCAGGGAGGTTGTTTTTTTTCCCTTACCCTGAAGTTACTGAACACAATCCAAAGAGATGACTTCACTTCCACATCTGTAACCAGAAAGTTTCTGTTTCATGGGTTATGACTGGAGCTCACAAAGCCTACAGTGCTTCCAGGAAGCTGCTTCTTCCCTCCCTCTCTTTTCAGCCTGTGGTTCTGGGCCCTCCTGCCAACCTTGGGGCAGAGGGGTCCCAGGCACCAGGACCACTAGAACTCACTTTGACCCTGACCAGTAAAGACCAGACCAGTCTCCCTGAGGCCATGTGTGTGTGCCTGCAGGGATCAGGCTGTGGGAAGGCAGAAACACATACAGTTCCTCTCCCTCAAGAGGATATAATAACACAAGCCTGCTCTTACCTCCTGAATTCATACAAGACCCAGTCCCAAAGCTTCCTGAGGCCCAGAGAAAACTCAATTAACATATACTTACCAACCAGCTACTCCAGGGATAGCATGCTCTCATCTGATGCAGCAATTCCCACTCTCCCTGGGGTGCTTCACCCCAGTCCCTAGATGGCAAGGAGGAGGAAACCAACTGGCCAGGTCACATGGTTAATGGGCAGTGAAGCTGACTCTGGCCAGAGCTCTTTCATTGTGACACTTCCGAATAGTGGGGACAGGGAACTGAAAGGAATGCTCTTTGACACAGAGGAACTATCACTATCACCTCTAAGTGACTCAGGGATAGTCCCTGACATCCACCTAGGCCCCTTATTCTCAGGAACGGAAAACCCCAGAAGATGCAGAGGGCCAGGGTCAGATGGAGGTGTACCTGAGTTCATTCTTAGTCTCTTTCACTAAAGGGAGATTGCATCAAAGACTTTACCTACTGGTATAGAGTCAGGCATACATCCCCTGGTGACTATCCCTGCAGACTGTCCTGGTCCCTCATTTGCCTTGCTTATTGGGAAGCTTGGCAGTGTCCAATGCTCAGGGGCCTTTCTTCTTTCTGGGCCAGATGACTACCTCTTCATTACTACCTCTCCATCTCTCACAGGCACCAAGCCCGTTCTTGCTATAGGGCCTCTTGTTGGAACACCCTTTTTGCCAGTCTAAAGGGATGCCCTAACCACCCCTGTCCAACGCTTGTGCCTCTCATAGCCACACTAGTTCTTTCCCCAATCTGATAACACCTAGAATTGGAATTCCAACTGGAATTCAACTGGCTCTTGACTGCTAACTTGCCATGGCCAATCTCACACTGAGTAACAGCTCAAGAGTGGGGGTTCATCCTGTCCACTGCTGACTCCCCAGCCTACAGCACAGCATCTAGCACCTGTTGGGCAGGCAGCTAACACACATGGAAGGGGACTGTGCAGCTGCAGCCAGCCCCGTCTGTACCGGCTGTAATAATCCCCACAGCCTCCAGTAAGTCTGCACCTTCTCCGGTTCTAACTTAGTGGTCTTGCTGCACATGTGTGATCCACTCTGGATCTGAGCATAACCGACTAGAGGAATAGAAGCTGTCCTCCTTGACACTGGATTGGCCTTGGGGCCATGAACCTCAGTAGCAGGCAGGGGTGGTTATTTCCTATCAGGCTCTGGCTACCTGCTGGATCCCTTGTCCCAACTCACAGGTAGAGAGTGAGCAGAGTCAAGGAAGGCGAAGCTGTTCAAGGCCACAGGGCAAGGCCTCAAGCACGGTGAAGAGGGTGTTGAGCAGGGGATGCTTTGCCGGGGAGCAAGACCCACACTGGGCAATACTCCCACTGCTCCCTCAGGAAGCCGAGTGCCACACCAGGCCCAAATTCCACTCTTTAAAGGACAAACAGGAAGATGGGACCATATAGAGCAGGTCATATGGTAGATGCGGGCAGGAAGAAGGAGCACAGTGTCTGGAAAGGGCCCTGGGGTTGGGCCACAGCTAAGGTGCCCGCATGTGCATGAGAAGCTTGTCCACCTCTCAATGCTAAGGAGCCATTAAGGAGACACAGGGCCGGCCGTGTGTAACCCGTGTGTCCTGGCAGTGCAGGGCTGTGACACTCAGACACACACCACTGTCCTCCACAGCCTGGCCATGAGGGGACAGTCCAGCAACCCTGGAGGACACATACGCACACACAGCCAACACGCCTCCCCATGTGGTCCCAGGGATTGTGCCACCCACCTGCTTATCCTGCAAGTCTGAGGAGAGTTCATAGCTCTCAGAGAGTGACCGTGAGCGCTTGATGGCCTCCTCTTCGGCCTGCTTCCGCAGGATGGAGGTCGAATGCTGCAGCTTGGGCCTCCTCGTGCGCTGCTGCTGCCCCGGCGGCCCCGAGTACAGCCCATAGGCTCCCACAGATGTGTGCTCGTAGTGATCTGGGCTCAGGCTGGAGCCGGGCACTAGAGGGCCCTGGTGATAGGCCGAGGGGCTGTCCAGGGACGTGCCAGTCTCACTGCTGGGGGCCTCGCCCTCGACACTGCAGAGGAGAGAAAAGCAAGAAGCCTCCTATGAGCAGGAATCGCAAGCCCAGGGAACTTGGAGGGCAAGCCCACCAAACACCAGGAGCTACCCACCAGGCAGCGCCTATTCTTCCGCAACGGTCCCACCACAAGGGCCTCCTTGAAGCCAGAGAGACCGTGGGAAGCACTCGGCCTGGCCTTCTGAGGCTTTGCCTTATGTCCTTTCACATTCTCTGTACCAGCTGTCACCCTCTTCCATCCAATCTTGTTGACTGATGGAGTTTGGTTAATGCCCATCAGTTCCCACACAAGAATGGCTGCACCCTAATACCAAAGATTGGGTATCTTGGGTGGTAGACATTCCCCAGCACCTGGAACAGACCCTGGTATATGCAGCAGGTGCTCAGGAAAGCCCCAACTGAAGGAATGCTGTCACGCTGTCACTTACCCCCTGGATTAAATCCATCATTGATTTTTTTTTAATGTATCATTAATGAAAAAAAAAAAAAACAATCTTTCCACTGCATGAATCTCTGAGTGTCCCTAAGAAGAAGGTCGGACAATCAAGTCCTTTCGTTGGAAAACCTTTCACATTCCTCAAGTTAGTCCAAGCTAGATGAGAAGTTTCAAAACAGGTGGAGTCCTGTGTGGGACCAGGCACACTGTGGGTGTCTGTCACAGCTGCAGATATCTCCCACATATTCCTCTGCTAAAATCCTCTCAGGGGCGGCACATGGAGCAGGGTCTCTGCAGAGGTCGCTAGGAATGGACCGGATCCAATACGCCTGGAACCCACATAGGAAGTGGAGACTGTGACACGGAGAGAGCAGTGAGGAGCAGGAGGCAAGGAAAAATGGGCCCTTCTGGAACCCTGACCTCAGGTCTCTTGCCTGGGGAACTGAGGCCACAGATGCCTGTTGTTTAAGCTCCCACCAGCCTGCAGAAGATACTGTGGCAGGCCTGGAGACTAATACAGTACTGCATACACATTTTCTCGAATCAGTTTACAAAGATGGAATCATCACTCCCCAGTTCCTCCTTCCCCCACCGGCTACATACATCCTCACAGGTGAGGCACCAGAAGCTGAGTTCACACTTCACAAGTGGTATCCAGGGCAGTTAGGACACCCCAGTGTCCACCAGTTTCACTGCCTCTCATCCTCATGACATCCCTCTTTGGGTCTCCAAGCATCAAGGAGGAACAGGGCCAGCTGGTAGGGACAGAAAGGGACTGGTTGACTGACTCATCCCAATTCATCGACTTGGCAGATATTTTCATCTGTGCACACACTAGTTTCTGCTGCCCATTGCTTTTCAGCATAGAACAGGGAGGAAAGGGAGAGATTTATACAATCGGTGTCTGACAAGACTTCAAGTTGCCCTGGCATGTTCCTGTAAGATCGTTCAGTCTTGGGCTGGACAGACTTTAAAGCCTCTCTGGTCCCTGGGGCCTGGCTAGGGGTCTCACTGAGAAAGCACAGCATAAAGAAGGGAACACAGCACACATACCCTCCTGCCAGGCTGCAGGCCTTGCTCAATGGCTCCTTCTTCAGATCAACAGGAACGCCTTGTATTCAACTGTCAGGGCCAACTGGTCCACCCCTGCCTGGCATCGTTTCTTTTTCTACATCTCCCCATGGACCTAGCAGGATCTACACAGAGCAGATTCCTGCTCCTCCCTTGGAAAGAAATCCAAATTGGAAGTCTAGGGAAGAAGGCCCTGGAGCAGAGTGGACCGAGAGCAGCCCACCCAGGAGGTGGGAAGAAGCCTGCCTCCTGCCCCCTTGGTTGTCAGAGCTGGGCTGTGAATCTCACATTCCAGCTTCTGCAGCATAAGGATTTCCTGCCTATCAACTGGCTTGGCCTCTGAGTACAGGCAGTGGGACAGCCTGCCTTCCCACCTGACTCCCAGGAGCTAAGATCTGACAGCAAGATATTGAAGTCCTTCCTGGGGGAAAAGCCTAGGTGGAGGGTAGGGGGTAAAGCAACCTGGGCTCCCTGCCCTGCTCTGCCCTAATGTGACTGAACCAGAGTGGCTCAATCTTCATTTAAAAGCCACAGTTGTCCTCTCTGGAATCCCAGCAGCACCTCTCTGGAATTCTCGGTGTCAGAGGACCTTCAAGACACTCCTGATGTTAAATGAGCCACTCAGCTCCTGTTGCCTGGCACCCCTTCCTGCTTCCTTTGGGCCTAGTGTGGGATCTGGGGTGGGGACTGGCATACCCAAACCTTCTCCCACCATCTGCCAAGTGCTGAGCAGTCATAGTACACAGGAGCAAGTGAGTGCCTAGGCCCAGGCTTCAGGTCCACCCCTTCAGGTTACAGAGGGACGGCTACGCTCTGGGAAGCCCACCCCACACTGGTGATCCCAGAACCTTTGCGGTTTTCTGTGGTACCCTCCATCTGGCCTTACCTTTGCAGAGCTGCCCTGTGCATCACAAGGAAATAACCACACACACACACACACACACACACACACACACACACACACACATCCCCAAAGTGGACACAGCCACGTCAGGGGTCTAAGCTGTGACCCCAGCCAAGAGGCTGTTGTGGAACTGGGTCATGTCCTTTAAGGGAGGCAGCTGGCTTTGCTCTTGGGGGAATCAACACCTGGATCACCACACTGAGCCAGAACCCCAGAGACTGCTAGGCAGTATCCCTGCAGGTCGCTGGAGTCAGAAGCCAAGGACTGGTTGTCCAGGGGCCACTTCTGAACTGCCATGTGCTAGTGTCAGGCAGTATGTGTGCATGTTGGGGGGTGAGGGTGAGCTGAGGCTGGGCCCGTCTGTGCAGGTAGGAGGTCACTGTAATTCTGTAGGTCAGGGCAGACGAGGTTGAGGAAGAACAGTCAACGATGGAGGCTGCACAAGGCCTACACCTGCTCTCTGATGGGAAAGGCCTGGCTGCTGGCTGGCTGGGGTCATAGGACCTGAAGTGGGCACCAGTCACCCTAGAGGGGGTTGTGGGCCATGGGGAGGGCTGCCTTTGGGGCAGGATTGGATGGAAGTGAGTGCTGGTAGGCAAGAACTTTCCCGCAAGCCCAGGATTCCTGCTTTGCAGATTCCTTGGTTCTACACTGCCCTGGGCCGGTGCCTATTTAGGAGAGGCCTGGGACTCCCCTGAGAGCATCTTCTTCAGGAAGGAATGACCTACAAGTTACTTAGAGCCTTCAAGCCAGCCTCCCGGGCACCATCACTTTAGTCCCTCCCTAACATGTGACCTGATACCAAGTCCTGCTGAGTTTAAACAGTGGCATCCCCTAGAGTCATACAACGTGGCAGCCCTCTCAAACCTCAAAGAATCAAAACCAACCTCAGACCAGAAAAAGCAGGAAAGAAATAGCTAGGCCATCCAACTGTCACCACCACAGGGCTCTCAACAACAAACATATGGCCTAAAGACAGGCCTCATAGGAATTTCTTTGTGTAGCTTAAGAATCCATGTTGAGCGCCCGGCGTGGTAGCCTAGCAGCTGAAGTCCTCACCTCACAAGCTGGGATCCCATATGGGTGCCGGTTCTAATCCCAGCAGCCCCGCTTCCCATCCAGCTCTCTGCTTGTGGCCTGGGAAAGCAATGGAGGACAGCCCAAAGCCTTGGGACCCTGCACCTGCATAGGAGACCTGGAAGCAGCTCTGGGCTCCTGGTTTTGGATCAGCTCAGCTCCGGCCATTGCGACAACCTGGGGAATGAACCAATGGACGGAAGATCATCTTCTCTGTCTCTCCTCTTCTCAGTATATCTGAATTTCCAATAAAAATAAATAAATCTTAAAAAAAAAAAAAAGGAATCCATGTCCACCCAGAGAGCAACACTTCTTTTGATCACAACCACAAGCTACTCAATATTACATAGAAAAAGTCTTTTCTCAGCTGGTGCTGTGGCAGAGCAAATAAAGACGTCACATGCAGTGTTAACATCCCATAAGGGCGCCAGTTTGATTCCTGGCTGTTCCATTTATTATCTCATACCCTGCTAATGTGCCTGGGAAAGCAGCGGAAGATGGTCTGAGTCCTTAAGCCCCTGTGCCCACATGGGAGACTGAGAAGAAGCTTCAGGCTCCAGGTTTTGACCTGGCACGGTCCTAGGCATTGTTGGCTATTTAGGGAATGAATCAGTGGATGGAAGATTCCTTTCCTCCTATCTCTGTAACTCTGCCTTTCAAATAAACAAATACATCTTTAAGAAAAGCATTTTCTTAATCTGAGCTTATCTGAGTTGACAAGTGAAAGACAGAATCATGCATTGCTTCAGACAGGGACACGTCCTTAGGAAAGCGTGGTTGATGTGTTATTAGAGGATATTATCATTGGGTGAACATCACTGAGTGGACCTGTACAAACCCAGATGCCAGGGCTGACTGCACAGCGATGCTCCAGGTCATGGACACATACACAATGTAGCCTACTGCTCTGAGGGCCACACGGCATTAGTAGGAACACCTGCCAGAGTAACCATGCAAAGCCTGCTAAACACAAACAGCAGTGAGATAGTCCCTGGCTACCATCCCCAAGTACCATGCACTGTCCTCAACAGTATGCGCTTTCACATGGATGCAGGGCCTCTGTGTTCACACCAGCCACACGGCAACGCTACAACATCAGGCATCAGGAATCTCTCTGCTCCCTTACCATCTCATGAGAGCACCACTGTAGCTATGGTCAATCGTTGACTGAAATACCTTTAGGCAGTGCATAACTACTTTTTTTTTTAATGAGTGAAAACATCAGGTAAGGAGGAAGAACTGTCTATGTCAGAGTAGTTGCCTCTGCCCTCCCTGTGGCAGCAGGGCACATGGCCTCAGATATACATAATGACTTTTTTTTAAAGATTTATTTATTTTTATTATTATTACTTTTTTTATTGGAAAGGCGGATATACAGAGAGGAGAGACAGAGAGGAAGATCTTCTGTCCGATGATTCACTCCCCAAGTGAGCGCAACGGCCGATGCTATGCTGATCCGAAGCCAGGAGCCTCCTCCAGGTCTCCCATGTGGGTGCAGGGTCCCAAGGCTTTGGGCCGTCCTCGACTGCTTTCCTGGGCCACAGGCAGGGAGCTGGATGGGAAGCGGGGCTGCCGGGATTAGAACCGGCACCCATATGGGATCCCTGGCGTGCAAGGCGAGGACCTTAACCACTATGCCATCGCGCCGGGCCCATAATGACTTTTTAAAGAGGCTCACACTGCACCACAATGCAAAGTCATTATCTCAATAATAGTTGAACTTCTGATTTTTCCATTTCACAGTGGGTTTCCTGGGGGAGTGTTAAATGCATTTTCAACTTGGGATATTTTTGACTTCACAATGGTTTCTCAGGATGTGACACCACTGTAAACCAAGGAGCACCTGCGCATGAGTCTGAAAGTGGGTCAGGGAACAGCTGGACTGAACCCTGCATCCCTCACTCCATCATTCCACCTCTAACCTCCAGAGCTCAGCTGGTTCACATCTCGCCAGTCCCACTCAGCTTCCCTAGAGAGGCTGCTCCAGGGGGCACAGCTCATCAGTCAGGACCAACAGCAGAGATAAACCCTCAGCAGCGCCTGGAACTCAAGCTCGCAAAGAGGAACAGGGACAAGGTCCATGCTCCCAGTCTTGCAACATACCCTGACCGTCCGCAGCTTCTCCCAGCATGCTCCTGGTTCAGCCCCCACTCACAGAGACTTATGCTAAGAAGATAAGGTCAGCAGGCAGCGTCCAATACGACTAGGTCATGGCAGTGGTAGTTCTATTCACACACATCTGCAAATAACTTGCATGCCCACCAACAGGGAGTCAATAATGATTCATCCCATATCCATATTGAGTTTATGTCAAGATGGGGAATACTGGGTCCGAGGGTAGCTCAAAGGAAAAACACCAGGGGATTTTCTGTTGCCTGTAAAATTAATGTGAACCGATGCCGTGATGTGGCTGAGAAGCCAGTCACTGATGGGAATACAAAGCTAGAAGCAAAAAATAGCCCCTCTCTCTGCTACAGCTGTTGGTTCATAGCAGAAGACGGGTTCTGGGTTCCAGAGTCCTGGGGCTAGGATGGCAGATCAGGGGTGTGTGCTCGCCCCAATTCCTCTTTAGTAGCTCATGGCAGACATTGCTAACTGATCACAGACTCTCTGCTGCGGATCTTGGGTGGTGTCTCAATCCCCTCCAACACAGCTCTCCACACAACTGATCCCAGCTGGCCCACAAGATGAACTCTGGTATTTGCCAAACCCAAACTACAGTTGCAGGGAGAAAAACATGAGGTTTCCTACCATGAGGTAAGACTGCTAAGTTGAGAGGAAAACAGCCCCACAGCAGCCACAGCGATCCTGTCCTCAGGCCTCTGAAACAGATTCCCCCTGGAGGCAGCACTATGGCACATGGGCCCAACCTGAGAAAAGGCACTCAGAAAGCAGCGAGTCCTTCTTTCACTGGAGGCGACAACCCATGGCAGGTCAAAGTCACATCAGAGAAGTGATGTAAGGGACTGCAAGCCTCAATTCTAGCATCATATCGCCTGCCCGAGTCTGTACCCTTGACTTGAGTGTCACGGCCTGTGAGAGGCCAAATTCAGATCTCATTCTAATCCCACTTCCTCCCCAAGGACCCCTTGCCTACTGCTGCCCCCATCCCACGTGCTCTTCCCCAGTGTGCAGGCTCCACTCATCTCGCTGGGAGTCTATGTAAATGTGCTGGCCTCCAGCAGACGCAAAAGGATAAAAGACCTGGGAAACCCCATTGATGCACACGGTGGTGGTGGGGAGTGACAGAGTGGCTGGAGACAGGAGCGGGGACCTGGCACTGCTTATGAGTGCATCCACGCTAGGTTCAAAGGCCACTTTCTGGGGCTTAGGCATGGCTGGCCATGGGCATACCGCTGCCCTGCTTCCTCAGCTTGGGACTCCAATAGTGACTCACTTCAGGGTAACCCAAGTTCCTCTCCCCTCTTCTACTTTCCCAAACATGCTTCTTCAGTTGAGGCGGTTTCTGTTTCAGAGAGATGGAAAGACGCCTGAGCGGGAAAGAGAGCACACAGGGTTATGGCCAGAGGTCCCTGTCCCTGGGACAGACACTGGGTTCGCATGGAGGTCACAGCGAGAAGTCTTCTCCCGGCCCTTTCTGCCAGGTTTGGGCTGCAAAGGCTCTTTGCACATTGATATGGAACTACTCATGTTATTGCTTAGCAGCGCTGTGGCTCTGTTCAGGAATACTTCATACCTCAGTTTCCAACCCTATAAAATGGGAATCATTAGAAAGTACTGTTTGTCAGGCTTAGCAGACTGATACAGAGCTTGCCTCAATAAAGAACACTCACTTGTGGCTGATTCTGATGATTTGACTAAGAGGACCCAACCTGGTAACTGGATGCCGGAGGGACACATAGGGCCAGGCCCCAAGACAAGGTCACTTACCTGTGGAGGCTACCTACTCTTGGGCTCTTGTCTTCTCAGACACCACCTGCAGGCCAGAGAGGCTGATCCCTAAGACAGGAGGCCGGGAGTCTGTTCAGACATCCTCCACCAGCCTTCTGTGGATAAGTAGAGAGCACCAGGGGATGAGCCCAACAACTGGATCCTTGACCCTGTCCCATGACCTGGACGGCATGAAGTGCCACATCCTGACATTCATTGGGG